CAACAATCAATCAATAAATCATTCTGTAACATTATTTACGGTATAGTTTTAAAACAATGCAGTTCGTGTTTTTTTTCACCTATTATACCGTTCTTTTAGAGTGAGGTGCTCTTCCTGTACCGGTTTTTATTGCATATATGAATAAGAGGACGTATTAGGATTGTAAATGCGACAACTATCTACCAGAGACAAATAGACGAGAATGTAAACAACACTGAATAGGGCATTGTACGGCCTTCAAAAATGAGGGGGGGGGGACCGTTTAGTAGGCTATAAAAGGCCCTGGCATGACAAAAAGTGAATCAATTCAGAAGAGAAATTATCCCTATGATTTATGCTAAAAACAGGAGAAAAATAAATAAGTCAAACAACAAACAACGACAACCACTGAATTACAGACTCCTGACTTGGGGATAGACACATAAAGAATGTGAGGGGGTTAAACTAGTTTGTGAGCACTCAATGCTGTCCCTAAACTATAAAATCTGCTGGAAAAGGCTCGAGTCATCAGATTGGCTCTAAGCACACAGAAAATCCATAACAAAAAGTACCGCAATTGCAGAATAAGTTTATTTCAAAGGATCGATAAGTTTACATGGATTGCATCTCGATTGACGGGCTCTATAAACGAAATCACCGTAATAAAATTGGGTAACATTAGACTCAACTGGTTTAGTACAATTTATCGATTCTTAAACCCGTTTATGTTTAGTAACCGACTACCGTACCATGTGTAAGCAATGTTATGTTAATATACCCACTCCCACAACAAATTTATGCGAAACTATCAACTCGTGAAATTTAAAACGTTCGACTTCCTTGAAAGCAAGGGCGTTACAGTTAGTCACATACACAAACACGTTATTAAGTATCAAATGACAGTGAGGAAATTCTAGTACTATCTTTGAATACACACCCGAAAGTTTATAAATATCTCTGTTAATGTAATAATGATATACCCCAGATATCTTATTCAATGGTCAAATAATAGCACTACAATTGCTGATGTGTTTTTTATTATTCATTTTAGAAATGTACTGATTTGTGTCATGGATAGATACCCCATATCCTTTGTTTTAAACTTTAAACTGGAGAATAGGAAACAAACGTCAAAATACAATATACAAGTAGCAAAAAATAACAATACTTCAGGCGCAATCAGTCGATTCCAGGTATTCATTACATACAGTTGATTCCAGGTATTCATTACAATCAGTCGATTCCAGGTATTCATTACAATCAGTCGATTCCAGGTATTCATTACAATCAGTCGTTTCCAGGTATTCATTACAATCAGTCGTTTCCAGGTATTCATTACAATCAGTCGTTTCCAGATGTTCCTTTTCTTCTATAATCATGATCGCATAAACTATTTACTAGCCAAACCAACCGGGAAGTGGAAATAAACTTTTAGGGCTTTAACTGATCATTAAACGGACAAAGTAATAAATTTACGACAACAAAAACTATTGTTTCACTTTTTCCTTTCTCATAATTTACAATGAACAAAGAAATACAAAATGTCATGCCATGTTGTACATTTAACATATTATTTGCTAACATTGTACAAATACTTAAGATCGAGAACTCTATAAACTTTTAAACACGTAAACAATAAAGGCAAAACTAATACAAACCAACAACACATTAAAAGCATTGATTCATTTTACAAAACTCTCACGAATGTACCATTGTAACTGTTGATTTACTCATTAGTACTTTTAATATCGTCATATAATTATTTTGAAAAAAAAACATATCCATGTATTTATGTAACAATTTACTGAAAAAATGCACTCTTTCAAAGATATAATCGCAGTACATTTTTAGCTCCTTGTATTTGAATATACATTTTTATCATATCCACTGAAAAGCTTTTAAGACAAGTTAGTTTGGTGCGTCAGGTTGGTTAGTAATAATTTAGTCGTCAGGTTGGCCAGGGTCGTCAGAACCAGATGCGTGAGGTTGGTCAGTAATAATAGGATGCATGAGGTTGGTCAGTAATAATAGGGTCGTCAGAACCACCTGCATCATATGGGGCACGGAAATGTAAAAGAAAAAGTACCGGTATAAAAAAACGAATGATTGAGTTCTCATCGCTCTCTACGATCAATCTCTTCTGTTATAGATGCATGTTTGGTTGATTAAAGAAGCAGGATTAAATGGGTTAATATAGATTATCGAAAAATAAAATACATTGTTCGTGGTTTAAGGAACAAAATGAAGGAAATTACATCAATCCAGTAAAAATCCACTTGTCTAATTAGAAAATAAGACTTCTAAAATTTGTTGTATACAAGTAAAAAAGCAATTTATCTTAGTGTCGTATTGTGAAAAAGTAAGTTCCGCATGTAAATTTGGGAAAAATCTGTACTTTTATTTCTGTATAAACACGCCATCCATAATTTCATTCTTAAGACTTCGAATAAAAATACTTTACTTGATTCACAATGATTCAGACAGATTAATAAAATAATAAGAAAAATATGATAAAGAACCTTAACATAAGTTTTTCTATGTAACTTAAGTTTTCCGTTGACAAGTTACTCTACTAATACGTAGGATGTTTATAATACTAAAATCGATTCTTAATCCGTAGTAACACAACATTGCGAACAGAAATTTACTTTTAAGGTAAACAGTATAGATGATAACGAACCCAAAGAGGAATAAACTATCGGATTAAAGTTGACCTGGGCGCAACTGTTCATAAATGCTCAACCTTCACTCGGTTAAGTTACGGATCTATAATTACACCCACTCTCTAAAGGCCTGGGTATGCTGGTTTAACATTAACAATTTGTTCGTCTTCATCTTCAATTTTACCTCCTCAATGGTCTTGTGTTCGCCTCGAGTGCGGAAGGTTGTGAGTTCGAACACCGGCCGGGTCAAACCAAAGACTTTAAAATTTGTAGTTGCTGTTTCTCCGCTGGTACGCGGCATTAATGAGTTAGAGCAGAGACTGGTCGGCTCGGAGTCAGAATAATGTGCCCTGGTAGGGTGACATGTCTTCCTGCGAACTGTTACCTTTTGCACTAGCAGGTTAATAATCCGGCTCAGAGTGTCGGTCTAGTACAAACCAAGGTTCATATTCTTATCGCATTAACATGTTCTCGTCCTAAATATGCATTTAATTTGCCACTGGACGTTAAACAGCCATCAATCCATCAAATTCACCATATTTTGTGAGCTTTACACAGAATATAGCTGTAGCCTGTAATGTGTTTGTTCATCATTATCAGACACAAACTTGCCACTTATCGGCTCTGTGTTTGGTCCATATTTACATTTTCTTAAAAAAGTAATCAGTATATAAAACAATTTAGCTTTTTCAAAATTCACAGCAATTAAACATCCGATTTTAATATCTGTTTCGGAAGCATTGCTGTGTGATACATTTTCAAACACATTTCATGTTTGACATATACACGGGTAAAACAAGTATACTGGGTTGATATAAACAAGTGAAATATTTTAAGTACTAGCGAAGTTCAAGAATCTATATTTCAAAGAAATGCGCTTTATTTGATGTAATATTTGATAAATTGTTTTTTTCTTTTAATATAATATATATACATGCAATTTACGTCTCGCTTTAAATCTACTACAATTACAAGTTTTTGAACTTTGATATCAAACTTCTTCTTGTTTAACTTTAAAGTATGATGTCTTTTCAGACCTGCCTGTTTGCAAGATAAGATAAAGCTAATGATAATGAGTATATATATACGATAGATCTGATATGTCAGATAGCGGACTCACGTAACCATTTTTTCTGTTTTTCATCGTCATATTTTATAATAAAATTGTTAACAATTACAAGGAAAACCAATCAGAAATTAAACACTTTTCTTATACGACTTTTATTACAAAAACTAATGTACTGATTATAGATGTTATTAACTACAGCACAATGACAATAATTGTTTACATCATTAAAAAAGATGTAAAAGATTTCATTCGACATAACAAGGATACGTTATTTGCACCATCTTAGTGATTTGAGCTCACAATTGTTTTAATTCGAGGGCCACTGATGAGTCACAGGTAGACGAAACGTATGTCTAGCGTACAAAATTATAAGCCTGATATCTTTGATAAGTTTTGACACCATTGAAATACATCGTGGATATAGACATTCGACTTGTTAGAAATCCACTCCAATCTTACACAATAAAGTATCATTTTGGCTTACTTCTCCCTGAGTGAATACGCTATTTTTGTCATATTTTGTTCATTGAAATGCTATACATACAAGTTTAACTGTCTGATGTAGCAGTATATGCTAAGAATGTTCGTCTTGTGGTGATAAAAAAGGGGAAGTAGACAAAATAGTGTGCAAAGGGAACAAACAACAGCATGCCATAACATAAAAAGAAAAGGATTGGTTGATTGATTGATTGGTGTTTAACGCCACTTTCAACACTATTGTGCTATTTCGTGGCGGTCAGTTTTTATTGATGGAGGAAGCCGGGGTGGCCGGAGAGAATCACCGACCTTCGGTAGGAAAACTAACAATCCATGTCAATTAAGATTGGAGCCGAGTGCACCTGCCCCGTGCGGGATTCGAACTCACAACCTCAGTGTTGACTGGCTAGTGATACAGTAGTTAGACTACTTAGACCACTGGGCCACCGAGGCCCCAAAAGAAAAGGAAGGCATCAATAATGATATGCAAATTATTGAGCAACATGAACTTCTAAAAAATTAAGATAAACTCATGTCACCTGAAAGAGTATGTGGTTATTGCCTTACCGGTGACGTTGTGTGGCTCATAAAAAAAAATCCCGTTGAATAGTTGTACATTGTACATGAATGACGAAAGGGAATTGAACAATAGGAACATACGCGTTATAGTCATCTGTTACACAGATAGAACGAAGTCATCAAGGTGACAGTTAATCTTTCAAAATGACCATTAGGAAACGGTAATCTCTGATCAACGAAATCTATCGGGAAACACAAGCTGAGTTAAATGCATGTTTTTCTTTTATTTTCAGATCCTTGGTTTGGGTATAGGAATCGCTGGTCTCGTGTTCCGGTTCGGAACGGATCTGTTAGGAGACGAGATAAAAGATGCCATGAAAAGTCTGAATGTTGATGTAGTCGGTGGGATAAATGTTTATGATATCGCCAGTTCTCTTTCGTTGTTACTTATCATTGTTGGTTTCTTCATCTTCCTCGTTGGTGGCCTCGGATGTTGTGGGGCTTGCTGTCAGAACAGAGTTCTCTTAGTAGTGGTAAGTAGATGTATAAACTGAATCAACCATCATTTTACACACACATGAATATATATATAGTAACTAGATACCTCCCATCAGAGAGCAAACACAAATTAGTTAACTTAAACTGAAAATTGTTGACACAGAAAGGATCGTATGCAGTACTTACTTTCGATAATCTAAACGTAAGATGAACTATCGACAATTAGCTTACTATAGATATAAGAAGTTCTTGTTTTTTTGCTTTTTAAAAGGAACCTTCTTAACGCTCTATTATAATTGTATACTTCTATTTACAATATGCTATAATTGTGTACTTCTATTCACAATATGCTAAACGTAATTGTATACTTCTATTCACAATATGCTATACGTAATTGTATACTTCTATTCACAATATGCGATACGTAATTGTACACTTCTATTCACAATATGCTATACGTAATTGTATACTTCTATTTACAATATGCTATACCGCGTAATTGTATACTTCTATTTACAATATGCTATACGTAATTGTATACTTCTATTTACAATATGCTATAGGTAATTGTACACTTCTATTTACAATATGCTATACGTAATTGTATACTTCTATTCAAAATATGCTATACGTAATTGAATACTTCTATTTACAATATGCTATACGTAATTGTATACTTCTATTTACAGTGTGCATTATTTATAGATTAGCAGTATGCTTTAATTTAAACATTCTCTTTACAGCATGCTATAATTTGATCTTAATAATTATAGTGTACCTCTATATACATAATGTTATAATTATATACTTCTATTTACAGTACGCTATAATTGTGGCCATTTTGCTGATTGCTCAGATTGTTGGTGTAGCAATGTTTGCTGGATTTAGATCTTCAGTAAGTATTGATTGATTGATTACTCTTATTGATGTTCTTGTTCATGCTCGAGCGTAACGTATCAAAATTGAGATATGTTTACGCTAAACAATGGGACAGAAGGCATGTTACTCCTGAGAAATGGGAAGTTGACAATTGGAAAGTTGAAATAATCACGTTTGTCACAGATTCTAGTTTGAAGTAGTCCAGCTGTGTCGATATTGAAGGAAAGATCAAGATATGAAGAATACATTCTATTTTCTATAGTATCCTTAATCTGAAGTTCACAGGGATAAAATTATATGAGATGCTAGCACTCACTAAAATATGGGTTATTGAGTGATAAGACATTTTCAATACATACACACACACATATATATATATATATATATATTTAGAATAATTATGTATATATATATATATATATATATATATATATAAAAGTCTAAATTGAAAACAACGTTCAAACCTATGATTGCGTTGGATAAAAACCGCAATTTTTATACGTGTGCATGTAAAACAAATTTCGTGGTAGAGGGGTCTAAATACAGCACAAACAACAATTTCCAAAAGACCAAAAAAAGTGAAAAAGTCTATTTTAACAAAACGCATTTGACTAGCAGGTCGAACAACGGATGTTCTTAAACCCTGCTGACTGCCATTGGCGATTGCCAAATAAACGGATCACCAGATGTAACAAAATGGATCTTATTTATTAATTCAATACCAAACAGAAAACAATAAACTTGCGGAAAAGATGATATACCGCAAACAAAAGGTGCAAAAATTAGCACACCATATCCGGATTTCGACAATTAATGTCTCTTCAGTGATGTTAGGAATCGAAACGGTATTTGGAAGGCCATATAATTTACCTCAATTTAGGATAGACTCTTGAATTTTGAAGAGTCGAAATAGGATGAACGGATCATATAAACCCGAAGGCAAATATAATACAAGCCCAAACGAAAAATATAAACAAGTCTAAATTGAAAAAAACAGTCAAACCTATGATTGCGTTGGATAAAAAACCGCAATTTTTATAGTGTGCATGCAAAAAAAAATTCTTGAATATATATGAATACTCACGTCTGTCTGTTTGTCAGTCACAATTTTGTTTCTAGATGATAGAGAACCGCTTTTTGAAATTAAATGAAATTTGGTCTACTTAAGACCTGTTAAGTTCGATTTGTCTTTGAGAAATGGTACTTGATTGTTGGAAAATTTCAAATTATCTACTTTCAGGATAATAAATGGAAAACCCCTTTTTCAAATTGATTGAAATTTTATTGAAATGTGTTGGTTCCCTTAAGACGGGTTAAGTTCGATATTCGTCTTTTTTTACTTTTACTATTCAAGAGTTATGGTACTTGATTGTTGGAAAAATAACGTATTATAAATGGAGAACCCATTTTTCAAATTGATTGAAATTTAAATGGAATGTGTTTGACGACTAAATACAGGTCAAGTTCGATTTCCGTCGATTTGGCATTTACCGTTCTAGAGTGAACTCTTCAAAAATGTTAGGGTGTTTGGATATTAAATTTAGAAATCCTATTTTACATTGATTGAATTTTAATGAAATATTTTGGACCACTTAACACAAATTGAGGTTATTTTTTGTTGTTTTCACTTTTACTATTCCCGAATTATGGTTCTTGATTGTTAGAATTTTTTTTAATAATTTTGTGTTTTCTGGATGATAAATGGAGAACGACTTTTTTTTTTTAAATTGATTGAATTTTAATGGAATGTTTTGGAACACTAAACAGAAGCATTTCCACCCCCCCCCCCCCCCCCCCCCTCAATAAAATTAAAACCAAAGTTATACCCCTTTAATGTATCAATTTAATATTTCATTTATTCAAATGAAAATAAACACTTGAGGTTTACTTTATTTGTTTGTCTAAACATCAGAATTCAGGTGAGCACATGACTCAAATATTTTATGAACTATGCCTCATATGAATTCAAAAACAAGTCGGCCAGTAGGGGCGCACAATTAGTACCTATCGGAATACTGACTGTCTGTTGTAATATCAACCCACCAAACTCAGCATTTATGTTGTCGATCAAAAAGTCCAGTATTTTTTAGATATTCTACGCGGTGTATTTGTAGTTAGAATCAGTGTGGCTCTTCACAAAATAATATTTTTCATGACATTAAACAAGGAATTTGTATCTACTTTTCCAATATTTTTTTTAGAAAATGCTTTGTTTAATAAGACGATGTAGTCGATCTTTTAATTTAGCATTGGTGGAGAATTGTACAGCACAGACAAAAAAAAACGTATTACAGCAAAATTGTAAAGATTGTTATTACAGATTAATGAGTTAACCTTTAGAATTTTAAGAATCCAAATTTAATTAACACCACTGGTTGAATATACCTTATCACAATATTTCTGAATAAGATTGACGTTTGTCTTGCAGAAATTCATGTATGTGTTGTTTTGTTGAAATTTTTTTTTCTAATCAATTTATCATTTGTATTTTACAGTTTGATGATACATTCAAAACAGAATTTAAGAAGGTACTGACTACCAGGTATAACCAGACTGGAAATGAAGATTTAACCAATTCCTACGATGCACTTTTCAAACTCGTAAGTAATTATAAAGCTATTACTAAATCACCGACAACAGAACAAAACAAATTCCATGTAATCAAATGACTCGCTATATTGATATTTATGTAGATATCTCTGATGCCAGTATATATCATGTATAAGCATTACCCAAGCTATCTGCTAAGCTGTTGTACTGGGTGTCCTGTCCAATCTATTCTTTATTAATAATAGCACAATTAAACCCCGAGGGACTGATGGCTTTAACAGAATAAATAACACAAATACGTACACGTAAATTACCGTGAAAATGATGAAAGAACATTAATACTTTTGCACAGTGCACCCTACTCAGTGTCAATGACGTTTTAAAGGACGGGATTGAAAGCTGCATGATTTTAAACACTGTATGACGACTAAACGAATTATCATCTATAATTTTGATGGTTTCAATGAAACTTTGATAGATAGTACCAACTAATATAATGTATCTTTTTCAAACTGCTTACCCAAACATTTAAATCTTTCGCCGGTCAGTAAAAATGGTTAATCTTCAACCTCTATTTACTTCAATGTTTACAATTTTTTTTCTCATGAATTTGAACTCCCCTCTATTCCCAAGAAATGATTGCCACTTACCCGCATTTCCATAAAATCTTTCTATTTTCCAAATCATTTCGAAGAAAATATTTGTCAGTTTTGTATTTTGTCTTAATTTTACTGTACATAAGGGTGCACTGATTACCTCATTGACTGCATGTGATGCATATCTATTTTTATTGATGTGGCATAGGTTTTCTACCTATGAAAACCATGAAAATGTTCCAGTTTGGCTGTGTGTGCCATTTGAAATGACAAAATGCATTATATAGCAGAGGGTAATATTCTTCACTAGATATTCTTGCTAACTTCTTTCATAAAAACATCTATTGAATACTTTGATATTGGCCTTTATTTTTTTTTTATTCGACGGTCACTGTTGAGTATTTCGTGACAAAACGCCCGTCTGGCATACAAAATTATAAGCCTAGTATCTGTGATGAGTTTTTTTTGTAATAAGCTACGTAGTCCTGCTAATGCACTTACTTGAGTATTTTGTTCAGTTAGTGCTAGCTAGTATATTCTTGTCAAATTTTAAATGAGTTTTTTTTTTTTTCGCCGGATTGATAAAATATCAATATGAAAATAAATAGACATGGTAAGATTACCAATTAGAAAACTATCCACCAGTGATTAAAGGACCAGGGTGTAAACATCACCGTGTGATCTTCATCATTGAGCAAACACCTATACTTTTTATGATTGTTATTGCCATTCTTTCATTGTTTCATAGATAATTCTCCTTAAATTCTTATCTGAATAAAATTGCTCACTCAAAATAATAATCATGTAGAATAAGTTCACCAACAGTCTTTAGCGATAAACGTAAACCGTTCATATACTATAATTGTTCTTATTATCAAAACATTCATTTTCAATTATAACCAGTTCATTAACAGTGGTATTATCATTTACAGTCTAGAGTCATGAGAAATGTCCCTTTCTTCATTAGCTTAAGGAAAAGTTACCCATGGTATGGTTTTGGGCAGGGTTAAATTGCAACGTTTCACTGATTATCTTGATATTTTGACAAAATGCATTCTGGTTTGAATGAAATAAAAGTAAGAAGGGAAAGGGCTTCAGATATCTTTCTATCTCATAATGAAAGCCGAAATCTATAGCTTACCCATGGTGTGTTTTTGTGTAGATGTGTGCATTTTACAAGTTTCATTTTAGACAGTATCTAATAGATAACTTAAAAATTGTTGTTTTCTGATATAATCCAGTTATAATATTTTAGCATCAAAAGAGCGAACTATAGACATTCAGCATGATTTCGTTTAAATAGACCTACTAAAAAAACTTCGAAAATCATACAGAGATGTCTTTTTGAGTTCTAAATTGTGTAATAATCATAATTAAAACAGAACCTGTTGAATGCATTTATCATTACAGTATAAATGTTGTGGTGTAGACTCTGCTAACGATATGCCAAGTCAAAGTTTGCCGTCGGAGTGCTGTACAGCAACTGACCCACCAAGTTCATGCACCAACACTTCTTCTACAGTTCATGAGGTAAGTATTAAAAATATATTGTTTAATTGTGATAGTTTACACCATAAGTTATAACGCTAATCACACTGCCAAGAAATTTATAAATTGAACGGTGATACTTTCTTCCTCATTTGGTGTTTGTGTTATCTGAATATCTTTGTCTGTTTTGAACTGACTGGGTCTAAATGGCTTATGGGGGATCTTATTTTTGATTTTTATGTTGTTATTTGTTGTTTTTTTTGTTGTTTCGTTAATTTTGATTTCCATCTATGTTTGCTGTCAGTCATGGTCTTATTTGTTAATTTTATATTAAATCATGCATGGTTTTCTTAACCGCATTAAATATTGCCGAAGGCGAAGCATATATATGGTTATCCTACAACGGGCGGCATTCAAAGTTACGAATACTTTATATTTCACAAGGTAAACAAATGATGGTTAGTCCATATCTCGTCTACTGATTCCTTATTAAAATTAACCCAAATTTCCGTCTAGCACGTGTCCGCTGCCCATGACCTTTTGTCATGATTAAATGACTGAATGAAAAGGTTTGTTCTCACATGATCTCCCCAGTTACGATATTTTCTTAATCAATAGGGTCAATTTAAGGTGTACGAGTCCGTCTGACAGGGTTCAGCCGACCTTGAATCTATTTTCAGTGTTCATTGTGCAACGTAAGCCTTTTGTATGGACTAGTTTCACGGTTAATGTAGGTTTGAAGTCAACTGTGTTTGGTCCACAGATGCGGATCCAGGATTCTGAAAATGGGGGCCGTGGGCCTACAAACTAGACAAAATTTGGAGTGGTATAGGTAAAAAGTCTGGATTAACCATAAATGTAGCTCCATAAGGGGGGAGGGGGCACCCCGGACCCCCCTAAATTCGCCTCTGGACCATATAAATATGGAAAGGTATAAACACCAGTCTGAAATACTAGACGTTAACGTGACTTTGATCTAATTATCATGGTTTATTTACGAGTTCGAGATAAGTGTTTTTTTCAGTTATTAGTAACCATGAATTATATTTGGTCGAAAGAATCACTGATTTGTATCCATTAGGCAGGGTTCAAATTAACTTGCCAATATGTCTATTTTGTTTTCAATTCAAGTGATCTCTAACACTTTTTGAAAATGTTTCAACATATGCAGTTTTTTTTTCTTTTGACGTTAAATTTATCTAAATTTTATGTTAAATCTATGAAATGATTTTCTGTATAAAAAAAGAAGGATAAGTGATACCATCCAGGAACAAAGAACAAAGAATTTATGAACAAAATATTCACACAACTCTAAAACTTTTTATCAGGGATGTTATACAAAGCTGAAAGATCAAATAGACCAGTACAACAGCGTATTTATTGGTGTTGGAGTGTCTGTGTTGATTTTCCAAGTAAGTGAAGATATGTATATACAAACATATGATATATCATACACATGAAATAAAGGTGACGATACAATAAGACAACAAAAAACCCATAACTTTGAAATAGAAAGCAGTAGAATTACATCTTTATTTTTTTAGACAATAAGTATATGATTCTATTACTATATGCATCAGAGGTCATTTGTATATATACGAAAATATCTAAATGATTATACCAACTCATTAAACTGTGGCTGCTGATGTAAAACCGAATAAAAAAAATTGCATCGCACACTTAAATTTGTATTCAATACTTTTTTTCTCATGCAAAAAATGCAAGGAAAGTCAAATAAAACTATTGATTCGGTAATAGATGAGCTTGTTCATAATGTTTCAAATTTCCAATTTTTGTCAAGCCTGCGACTTCTGTCGCAGAAAGCTCTACATAGGGATAGTGATCCGGCGGCGGCAGTGGCGGTGGCGTTAACTAACTACTTAAAAGCTTTATATTTAAGAAGGTGGAAAACCTGGATGCTTCATACTTTGTATATAGATGCCTTATGTTATGAAGTTCCCGTCTGTCATATGTCCATTGTCTTTGACCTCATTTTCATGGTTCAGTGACTGCGTGAAAAAAAAGTTAAGATTTTTTGTAATGTTAATTTCTCTCTTATTATGAGTAAAGGGATAACTATATTTAGTATGTGCGTAACTTTCAAGGTCTTCATGCCTGTCAGACAGTTTTCCTCTGACCTTGACCTCATTTCATGGATCAGTGAACAAGGTTAAGTTTTCGTGGTCAAGTCCATATCTCAGGTACTATAAGCAATAGGTCTACTATATTTGGTGTATGGAATGATTGTAAGGTGTACATGTCAACTGGCAGGTGTCATCTGACCTTGACCTCATTTTCATGGTTCAGTGGTTAAAGTTAAGTTTTTGTGTTTTGGTCTTTTTTCTAATACTATATGCAATAGGTCAACTATATTTGGTGTATGGAAATATTTTACGATGTACATGTCAGTCTGGCAGGTTTTATTTGACCTTGACCTCATTTTCACAGTTCATTGCTCAGTGTTAAGTTTTATGTTTTGGTCTGTTTTTCTTTAACTATAAGAAATAGGTCAACTACATTTGGTGTATGGAATGATTGCAAGGTGTATATGTCTGTCTGGCAGGTATCATCTGACCTTGGCCTCATTTTCATGGTTCATTGGTCAATGTTAAGTTTTCATGGTTAAGTTTGTTTCTTAGATACTATAAGCAATATGTCAAATATATTTAATGCATAGATTGATTGTACGTGTACATGTCTGTCTGGCATGGTTCATCTGACCTTGACATCATTTTCATGGTTCATTGGTCAATGTTAAGTTTTCCTGGTTAAGTTCGTTTCTAAGAAACTATAAGCAATAGGTCAACTATATTTGGTGTAAGGAATGATTGTAAGGTGTACATGTATTTCCCGTTTGGTTTATCTGACCTTGATCTACTTTTTTTGGATCATGTTAAGTTTATGTGATACTTGTAGTAAAGCTTTATATTTAGGAATATAAACATAAAATCAATGGTCAGTAAAGCAGGAGAGACATTTCAGCGTGTGCACTCTTGTTGTTTCATTTTTGGATTTTGTTTATTGTGGCAAAAATGTTCCTACCAATCGTTAAATTAGATGGAACAAAAAAAACTCGGTCACATTTAAAAAAAAATGAAAGCAACACTTAATAAATTCCATGCGTCCGAAGCGCATTTGCATTATCTACCTTCATCAGGAACATTCAAAGCAAAAAAAATTGAAAGCCAAGGATGTATAAGAACCGAAACAGTCCAAGAGCTATATAACAATAAAGAACCTAAAAATAATAGCCAATTCCTTCTAAGGTCAACTGAATATGTCTTAACAAAAAAGGACGTAGTATATCAATATAACAATTCGGAAAAAGTATATATCAATGAAACAGCATTTCTAAAACAGTTAAAACCAGAACAGATATTTAGAGGTTAACATATGACGTCTCCAATTGACAAATATGTCAAGCATATGTCTGTTCAAAACCAGGATCGATTGATGCCTGTTTATGTCCAGCTGAAAATATTGCATGCAATATTCAGGACGATAACATGTTGATAAGGTATTAGAATCCTCGCTTTTTTATGGACACACCCGCTGAGTTGAACTTTTTACGTGTTAGCTACCGTGGCAAGACATGTCATTCAACTCGGACATATTATTCTAACACCAAGCCTATTAGTCTTCAATCTTATTCATTACCGTCTCGTGTTCGGCAGGGAAACAGTATTATATTTTGATACGGTAGACGTGCGTTTTGCCTATTATATAAGACTTATCAGTGGCGTTCTCATGAAACTCATTTTGAAGTATTTTATTCAACTGGGCCTCTGATCCAAAAGTCAGGAACATTTACTTGATATCTCTGCAATGACACAACGTCTTCTCTTTATTTAAAAGCTAACACTGTTCTAGTAAAACAACAAATTATAAGAACGGAAAATATCGTTGAATTAGTTTCAAAACTAATTCGAGGGGGATGCCTTCGACAAATGCTTGCCCAATTATTTGTGTTAATATTCTGACAAGATATCAAAATTGTAAAACATCACCTTGCCACCTAGGTTAGACACAACTTCAACCAAAATAAGAGCAATCATGACATGTTGTCTAGACAATGACCAAGAAGAACAATATCGTGACAAGTAAACAAGACCATGACCGAAAGGGGAAAAAAATCATTCACTTATTCGCTTACATTAAAATATGCTTTCAGTCATGATGTGCACGAATAAAGCATGGATTATATACTTTAAATTGAACAGTATAATGTTTTATTAGTTAGCTCACAGAAAACTTTATAAGTACTATTTGACATTTTTATTTAGTTATCATCTGTTTATATCACTTGTCACATTTTCCAGAAGTTACCTATACACAAATATCATCGATCTTCTAAATGTTGTGTTAAAAGATCGTCGTTAGACGTGCGAAATTTATAGTGTAATGTTTATTTTCCATACGCTTACTTCTATTCACGAGATTTTATGTTTTAACAATAACCTTGTTCTTTTTCTTTTTAACTGCATGAACTATCTCCCTGTATACACCAGAAACATACTCTGTCTGTCACTATACTTCTTTTGTTTTTAAGTTTCAAACATAAAATGAGTTGTAATTTGTTTTTCAGTTAATATGTGTTATCTTTGCCTTCTGTCTGTGTGCAGCTATTGGAAGAGATAGTGTTGTGTGATACTGAACGTTTTTTTACATTTCCTTCTATATGAATCCTGTTGATATTGTGTCTTTACTAATTCTCTGATTCCTAGACAACACTTTCCTATATATTTGTATATGTTCATTGAACAATTCTTGAATCATGTGGCAAACAAACTAAATAGGATTGAACGTTTTCTTACATTTCCATCTATATGAATGATTTTGATATTGTGTCTTTACTAATTCTCTTCTGATTCCTAAACAACACTTACCCATATATTTGTATATATGTTCATTGAATAATTCTTGAACCATGTGGTGAACAAACTAAATATGACTGATCGCTTTCTTACATTTTCATCTATATGAGTCCTGTTGATATTGTGTCTTTACTAATTCTCTTCTGATTCCTACCCATATATTTGTATATGTACATTGAAAAATTCTTCAATCATGTGGCAAACAAACTAAATATTGATATTTAATAGAATTATTTTGCTAATTTTCAGTTGTTATGTGTACTATTTTCCTTCTGTTTGTGTGTGGCGATTGGAAGAGAAGAATAGAACTTGTCAAATATCCAGAACAAACAATCAATCAAATATATAGACGAAATATATATAGATGTTAAATATAAGGGGTAAAAGGAATCGTCCAATGAGAATGGGGGAATAAAGAGAAGAACATTTATTTAGCTTTACGATTTTTTTTCAAACTGTTTTATTGAGTTTATTCACATTGTGAATATCTCATTAAAGCGTGCCATAGATTTCTTAATCTACCCAAATATGTTCCTTATTAGCAAAATTTTAAAAAGTAATTTCTCATATTTTCTCAACAACAAGTGTTTTCAGAATCCATCTGTTAGGTCTAAAATGAATGAGAGGTGTTACTGAATTTTAAAGTTTTAGTGAGTGATGATTTTCAAATTATATTCATCAAGCTAATATCAGTACACTCCTCATGATTGGACCACCATTTGGGTCCTCGAGATGGATTGATAAACAAAATAAACAAAGTGTTCTAGTTTTTATCATATATATATATTATTTTTTATGTTGTATCATTTTATTTTAGGTATTACCATACCAAGTAATTTCGCTTAATTTACATATATTCCTATACGGATACAATGTGTTCATATAATTAGCAGCAGGAATATTTTCATCACCTATATGAAAATTTATAATTGTAGGTCATAACTGGTTATTTGTGCTTTATTGTGTGTTTCGTAATTGTTTTTTTTAAGTACGTAAATTATTTAGAAACATAATATCAGAATTTTGTAAAATAATTAAACATTGTTCTTGATGACCCACATTTATCCAGGCAGTATGATTTTGAAATTGGATTGAAATTCTTAAAAATTATATAAAGTAATACATTTTTAATTTGTTTTCTTCCTTCAATCAAAAACTCAAAAAAAATCCAAGCATCCTATTCACAAATACAATGAACAAATTGTCTTACATTAGGCAACTTGTACAAAATTCACATCAGTACGTGAAAGAAGATCTGACAGACACTATTGTCATTTGTAATTAGCTCATTGTCATTATCATTTATTTTTATTCTGATGGTTTAGCAATTTTTAAAGTAATTTGAAAAAGAGAAAACGTGATGACAGATCACACTCATACATGCTATGCAAAACAAATGATTTTTTATTACCCGGGTTTTAAATTTTCTGAGTCCCTAAGCTGTTTTTTTTTTTATATCTTAGATATAAAACGGTCTTATTTTCTTTTACTTTTGAAACACTACACCAAAGAACCTTTTAAATCATTTGATAAATGTTATTTTTTATTCACTCATTATTTTTTATCAAGACCGATTTTACTTGTTGACTTTTATCTTTGTCAAATTATTATTTTCGAATAAAAATACTTGTATGCGAATAATTATGTATTTTTTGTTTATTGATTAAACATGCAGTTATTAAGGAACAGAGAGGTGTGGAGTATCTGAATATGAGACAAAAAACCTTCAAAATAAAGTAACAAACGCCTGTATTTGGTAACATAAGTCTTCAATAATTGACATGTGTCTGCACAATATGTCAAGTTCTTAATCATCTAGACTGTTTGTAAAAGAATTGAATACATTTAACAGAATCAATCGAAAATCTGTCATCAACACCAAATTCTCCAAATAACAAAAAAAATAAGATGTGATGTACAACAACAGGCATGAGACCATCACAAGAAAATGAGACGAAGCTAAATCAGTTTATTGAGATCTCCCTTTTTTAATATCGACCAGTAGAAGTAACTATAGTAGGACATAGAGTAAAGAACAAGTAAAGAAATAAACCCAACTTACTGTAACATAATGATATTATATATAACCAAAACAAACAAATTTAATAACAAAATAAACCGTATTAAGAATTTTAATGATTGAAATTACCCAACGTACTGAACCTGTATACTAGTACATTGAACAGGAAGATATTATAGTGTGCACAGGACATAACGAACTAGACAGAAATACAAAAGAAACATTTTAGTTTTGCTTTAAACTTCAAATTAACAAATTGGTATTTATGTCAAAAGTACGAGACGCTGTAATTGAACAACAGTGTATAAAGATAATCTATCAAAATTTCTATAAATACAAGGAAACAGATTCGAAGGACAATGTCTTAATTTGTAAGTTTTAAAGACACTATTAAACCATACAAAAAGGTTAAGAAGTGCTACAGTAATTGAATTCCTGTAAGTAGAATGATACTTCCCAATAATTAATATGTTTTTTATAAAACTTAGTAAACAATTTGAACAATTTTTGATATCTTTATCCCTGTTGTAAAGGTTTTTTTTAGTAACGAAAATGTTTTGTTCATAGAAATCCTAGACTTCACTGCAAACTCGTGCATATCAAACTAACTGAAAATATACATGTCATAAGAAGAAGACAACAGAACATTTTTATCAAGGAAAGAAAAAAGTAAAATAACAAAAATACCGAACTCCAAGGAAAATTCAAATCGGAAAGTCCCTTATCAAATGGCAAAATCAAAAGCTCAATCACATCAAACGAATGGAAAACAACTGTCATATTCCTGACTTGGTACAGGCATTTCCTTATGTAGAAAATGGTGGTTCAAACCTGGTTTTATAGTTAGCTAAACCTCTCACTTGTATGACAGTCGCATAAAATTTCATTATATTGACAACAATGTGTGAACAAATCAAACAGACATAATAGGTAAACATGTAAAAAAATAGGGGTACAGCAGAAACATATGGATTGTTTACAAAGAATATATAAAAGAGGGACGAAAGATACCAGAGGGACAGTCAAACTCATAGATCGAAAACACACTGACAATGCCATGGCCAAAAATAAAAAGACAAACAGACAAATAATAGTACAGATGACACAACATAGAAAACTAAAGACTAAGCAACACGAACCCCACCAAAAACTGGGGGTGATCTCAGGTGCTCCGGAAGGGTAAGCAGATCCTGTGTCTGTCTGTATTATTGAAGTCAAGTAATAGATCTGCAATTAAAGGGGTATATTCAGTTCCCATCGGAATACTTATAGATTATAACATGCCCTTTTCCATATTGGCCCTGGTATCATTCCGAGACTCCCATATCAACCCGAGGCTTTAGCCGAGGGCCGATATGGGTCGAGGGATGATACCAGGGCCAATATGGAAAAGACATGTTATAATCTATTTATCACATATTTAAGTTCTACAGAAAAGAGACAAACGTTCAATTATAACTATTTAATTAACTACAACAGGTAAAATCTAAAAAGATTTATCACATTTTCCATTAATTTTTAATATTTACTGCATACACATTTATTGTAACATTCCCCTTATTTTTGAATATGGTAATACACAAAAGCGAGAATTTTTCATAACTTGGCCTAAATCGATAATAGTTGGTAGGACATTGTTACTCGTGGCCATTGTAGCATAATTCTCATAATTTTCAATACAAACACCGTCATTGTTCGCCATTGTCGTTAAGGACGCAATGCCGTCACGTCATTTGGAACCGGGGCAAAATAACCAATAACCACTTTTTTGCCCCGGGCGGCAATATGAGTAGGACAATTGTGCGGTTATTATATATGCAAAACCCAATGTTTTCGTAACAAATATGTGATAAATATCATTTACATTCATCTCGAAAACGAACATAAATATTATCAGGCAAACAATCAACAGCTTCACTCATTTTGTTTATTTTCTTAAATCTCATTACTAAAAAAAAAGAATTTTAACGACTGCAACACAGATACTGCAATACATTGGAATTCCTAATATCAAAGGGATCAATCTGCAATAAAAGGGACATACTTACCCAGCAGGCACACAACGTTGATTTAACATTGAATCAATGTTTATTTTCTATGTTGAATCAATGTTGAATTATTATTAGATTTTGCTAATTTGTATCAACGTTGAAATCCAATGTTGAATCAACGTTGATATTCAACTTTGAATCAATATTGATTAATGGTTGCTTCAACATTGTTTAAACCAATAACTCACCTTGAATTCAGATTGAATTCAGGGTGAATACCATATTCAACATGGAATCAAAATTAGTTAGTGGTTGTGTTCAACTGTAATTCCACCTAAAACTTAAGTTTCATTCATCCTGTATTTTCTGTGTGTTGCATTCCATAATTTTATACTGTAGCAATATTCAAGCTAGTGTCTTCTCAAGGCCCTCTACATGCTAAATGTCATAGCAACATTCTGCCGCAGGAAACTTTATCCAATAACTGCTCCATCAGACCAAAATATAACAAGAGTGCACACGCTGAAATGTCTCGCCTTCTTTACTAACCATTGATATTATGTTGATTATGTCCTAATTGAAAGCTTTACTACAACTATTACATAAACTTAACATGATCCAAGAAAATAAAGTCAAGGTCATATAAACCTAACGAGAAATACATGTACACCTAACAATCATTCAATACACTAAATATAGTTGACCTATTGCTTAAAGTTTCTAAGAAACAGACTTAACCAAGAAAACTAAACATTGACCAATGAATCGTGAAAATGAGGTCAAGGTCAGATGAACCATGCCAGGCAGACATGAACAGCTTACAATCCTTCCATACAACAAATATAGCTGACCTATTGCTTATAGTTTAAGAAAAACAGACTGAAACACATAAACTTAACACTGAGCAATGAACTGTGAAAATGAGGCCAAGGTCAAATAAAACCTGCGAGACTGACATGTACATCGAAGAATATTTCCATACACCAAATATAGTTGACTTATTGCATATAGTATAACAAAAAAGACCAAAACTCAAAAACTTAACTTTGACCACTGAACCATAAAAATGAGGTCAAAGTCAGATGACACCTGCCAGTTGGACATGTACACCTTACAATCATTCCATACACCAAATATAGTAGACCTATTATTGCATAAAGTATAAGAAAAACGGACCAAAACACAAAAACTTAACTATAACCACTGAACCATGAAAATGAGGTCAAGGTCAGATGACACCTGCCAGCTAGACATGTACACCTTACAATCATTCCATACACCAAATATAGTAGACCTATTGCATACAGTATAAGAAAAACAGACCAAAACACAAAAACTTAACTATAACCACTGAACCATGAAAATGAGGTCAAGGTCAGATGACACCTGCCAGTTGGACATGTACACCTTACAGTCCTTCCATACAACGAATATACTAGACCTATTGCTTATAGTATCTGAGATATGGAATTGACCACCAAAACTTAACCTTGTTTACTGATCCATGAAATGAGGTCGAGGTCAAGTGAAAACTGTCTGACAGGCATGAGGACCTTGCAATGTACGCACATACCAAATATAGTTATCCTATTACTTATAATAAGAGAGAATTTAACATTACAAAAAATCTTAACTTTTTTTTTCAAGTAGTCACTGAACCATGAAAATGAGGTCAAGGACATTGGACATGTGACTGACGGAAACTTCGTAACATGAGGCATCCATATACAAAGTACGAAGCATACAGGTCTTCCACCTTCTAAAATATAAAGCTTTTAAGAAGTTAGCTAACGCCGCCACCGGATCACTATCCCTATGTCGAGCTTTCTGCGACAAAAGTCGCAGGCTCGACAAAAATTAATCTCAGAAAAAAATTAATGAACTTTAAATAATATCATTGCCTGGTCATATTTGTCATGATGTGATCATTTGCTCATTGTTGAAGACTTTATGGTGACCCAAAGGTGTATAAATAATGTTATTTGGTTGATGATTGTCTTGTTAACAATATGCAACAATAAAAACTTTGAATATATACCATTGACTGTCAATTACTCATAGAAGAATTTTCAACAATAAAACTGAGAGACCACATTCTTGTGATAAGAGCATGGCTTGACCATGATGATGTCAACAACCAATCAACTGAATAACAAATATGTGTGTTTAGGGCTTTCCTACGAACCATAATTTAACCCCCAAGATTTTTTTAACATTTAATGATATGCATATAAAACACAAATTATCATAGAGAAATATTGATCTATCCTAATTTTTGAAAGCACACAACCCTTAATACACATAGTTTTTGCCCGTGTCTATTCTAAATATATGAGTGATCAAAATATAAAACAAATTTTGCTGTTCCTACTCCATGTATTCTAATGTCCAACCATTGATTATAGAGAAATATTCAATACGATAAAATTAAAATAAGTTTATTTATTAATCAGTCAGGGGTACTACTTAAACAAGTGATTTCAGAATCACTCCCTCGAGTGATTTTGGCTGTGAAATATTAAAAATTTTCACACAGACTTTTTAAAATCACTGAAACAAGTAATTTTAGAAGTTAAAATGTAATCACTTTAATAAGTGTTTATAACATTTTCTTGATATTTTTCCCACAAGCTTGATTTTTTTATTGGTAAAAAGACAACAATTCCATTGAAAAAACAACTATGTATATGCAGAAATTGTCTTTTGCTTGATAAGCCTGATACTTTTACAGTTTTATCAAAATATGCAAAAACTAGAATAGTTTGTAGATCAGGTCATAACCTTGAAGTAGATCATTCTAACTCTAAAGAAAACCAATCAGGTTACCTAATATTGTTGATCTTTGTCTGATAGTAAGAGTAGTTAATGAATTTTTGATTACAGAAAAATTCCCAAGGGTACTTTTAAAAGCTTTAGCGCACTAACTTACTGCCCAAGCGCACTGGTGAAATTAATATACAAAGAAAAAGGGATAATTGATTTATGTAGGAAAATTATAGAAAAGATTGTGAAAATATGGAAAATCAATGAAATTAGCATTTGAAGATCAAAGAAAACACTAAAATCACTTAAATAGGTGATAACTGAATTTATCAAATCACTGAAATAAGTGATGATGAAATCACTTGTTTAAGTAGCACCCCTGACTGTTAATAGTGAAAACTTCAACTTCTATCTTCTCCCACCCTGTCTTTTTGTAGCCCATTTTAGAAAGGTTGTTGTTTGGTCAGACACTTGTTGTTCCGTGATTCCATAGGTCTTCATGATGACATCTACAAAATCAAAAGTTATAACATTGTCAAGTTTAATACTGTTAAACACATTTAAGTATTAATAACTTCATAATGATGATATTTAAAGTATAAATCAAAAGCATAAGAACTCATGAAAACTAAATGAAAGTTAAACTTCCATCTAAATCTCAACTACATTTCCTTTTATATAGACCAGAAGGTATAATCTGCAAGAAAATCCTAAATACTACATTTTAACTTGAACAAATTGAAGGTTTATCCACATATGTCTTTTTCTGTATTACTTGTGCTGCTGCATGGATATCTGTCTGATTGACATATACAAGGGTTGTAAAGGGGGGGTTCTTAACACGAAAACACGTGAAATAAAAATCCCCAAAACGTCGCACGGAAAATAAAAATTGGGATAAATGAAGCAAGAGAAATAAAATCATAAATGTTAAGGAAAAAGTACTAGCAGTTATTACTCAGTCGTTCTTGGAGATCACACAGTCATGATAATGGACACGAAGACCCTGCGGTCACCTTTTCGCGTCTGCTAGTTGCATCCGATTTGAAAAAAAAATATTCATAACTTGATAGCAATTAATATCCATGATATTCTAGGAACATATACATAATGTAATTTAAAAATCCAGACTGACTTGGAATTTAGTCCCGGTTTACTTTTTTTTATCAAATGTGGGACAAGCATGAGAAATTAAGAGTACCGACACGAAACACGGAAAATAAATAAGGGGAAACACAAATAACGCATGTCAAACCAAAGACAAGAAAACAAGAAATAAAAAGGCCAAATACGTTGCATGCAAATATTTCTTTACCACCCTCATATGATATACCCTTCATCTTTGATTACCTTATCAAAACACTACTTCAATTTTGGCAGTAAAATATTAAAGGTCCAACTTGGTGAGCCATATAGCTTCTGACCTTTCCATCCCAATTTTGTAAACAACTGAGTCTCAAGCCCCCCTTTTTGTGAGATTTCGTGTAACTGAATTGAACAGGTAAATAAAGATAAAATGTCTTTCTACTTTTGATTTAAACAAAGGATGAATTCAAAAAGTCAACGATAAAAATTCATGAGACGTTGCAAGGTAAATCGGGAATGGTAACATGCTAAACATCCCCCTTTTCCTCGTGTAAAATTTAAACTTTTCAGTACAGTTTTCATAACAAATTGGTATGCTCACATTTCTAAAATACCATACTGTATTTACTGTAATCACAACAATTTATATATACTTACGATAAAATATAAAAGCTGTATACAGGAAAGATATTGATAAAAACTCTGTAGAATCACCTTGTGGTCTCGAAAGCGGATATTCAAACTTTGGCAACAAAAACAACTGCGCATGCGCATATCTGAATTTGTCTTAAAATAGAAATGTTAAAAATGCCGCGAAAATTTAAAAATCACTATTCCAATAGATCTATCGGTTGTTTATATTACAAGTTATCAACCATTGTTTATGAACTGATATATACGTCTTTCTCTTTAGATTGTTAAAAAGAATAGAAAAAAAAAGGAATGGAAACAAGATATTTGACATCAGCAGCCACGGAAAAAGGGGGCTATTTTTAGGGGAAGGGGTTATTCACAAATATTTATATTTACTGTATGATTCTGTATGCAAGCTGGTTCTATTAATTTATTATGTTTTGGGGTGGGGTGAAATTTGGTAATTTCTATTATATGGGGTGCAAAGTTCATGATTAATTTATGCTGATACATGATACACTGCGATTCATTGTTTTATATATAATTCTGTAATCACCACTACAATTAGTGATAAATCTACTGAATATTCTATTTTATGTGAATATCGTTGTCAATTTAAAAAGAATTGTGATGTGCCCAATACTTCTTTATTGACAATTCTGGTATCCACAACTACTGGATCCTACTGGGTTTTATATATGATCATATATTGTTTAGCCAACGTTGTTTCAATATTGGTGTTTCAACACAATGTTAATTCAACGTTGAAACAATGTTCTAATTTCAACGTTGAATTGTCAACGTTGAATCAATGTTGAATATTTGTTGATCAATGTATAACCTAAAATCAACAAAGATTCAACGTTGATTCAACAAAGTGTGCCTGCAGGGTAGTACCAATCGGAATACCAATCACTTGCATACAACACGATCATAATAATAAGCAAATAATTAACGGCTTCAATCATTTATTTGCATGTCCAATTTGTGTATTTTGTACGTTTAAATTCTGAAGAGGGTATTTAAACGACAAAAAGTATAACAAAAATACCGAATTCTAAGGCAATTTCAAAAAGCAAAAAGAGGAGTCCATAAAATCTGACAAATTCAAACGTTATCAATCAACGGAACAAGTGAAAACAACTGTCATACTCCTGGCTTGGTACAGGCATTTTTCGAGAAAAGTATGGGTTAAACCTGGTTTCATAGCTAGTTTAAACTCACACTTGTATGGCAGCTTTTTATATAAAAATAAAAACATGTGGAATAATTGCCAATGAGACAACTCTCCACAAGAGACCAAATGACACAGAAATTAACAACTATAGGTCACCGTATGGCCTTCAACAATGAGAAAACCCATACCGCATAGTCAGCGTAGTTCCCTTATGTTTTCATAATGGGGTGAGCAACCCAAACAGACATGATAGGTTAATGTGACAATAATAGGGATCCAACAGCAAAAACTGTATAAAGGTATATCATCGAATATATATATACACCCAGATTTTTCAGATGACCATTTAATTAAACTTGAAAACTTTGTATGAAAGATTTGATAAAAAAAAATAAAAAATACCAACCTACCTTCTTCAAACTAAATAATGAATTAACAACACCATAATTATCGGATATCATCACATGAGAATCCTGATTGTTGATACTTATGATCTTGTCTACCTTCTCCAAACGTCCAGTAAGAATCAACGGATGTCCTATATCACATCAAGTCATTACCAATGCATGATAAAAATGGAAGAAAATAGGACAAGTAACCATAAATTAATCTGAATGAATTTTAATTGATAATGAAATAGTTACATACAAATTTATGACCATGTGAACGTGAATGTCCTCAATAAATCTCCATTAAGATGTTGAAATCGAAGAACCTTCAAGCAAAAGATGAAATTAAATAATTTTAACACTATAACATATCAACAGTCAGACTTATATCCGAGCATTTTTATTGATGTTTTATATGTCATCGACCTGCATTCCATGTTCATTTTGAAATGCAAATCGCTAATTCTTATATGATTCGATGTTTACTTTTCTACGTAATCTCGAGTTATTTTTTATGAATGAGTTACAGCAGTTGATTGATCGATTGATCGATTGATTGGTTGATTGGTGTTCAACGCCACTTTCAGCACTATTGTGCTATTTCGTGGCGGTCAGTTTTTTTATTTCCAGAGGAAGCCACGAGAGAACCATCGAGTTTCGGTCGGAAAACTTACAATCCTAGTCAATTAAGATTGGAGTCGAGCACACCTACCACGTGCGGGATTCAAACTCACAACCTAAGTGTTGACAGGCTTGTGAAATCATCCCTTCGTAAATTTTACGGACGCCATCACGAGTTGGTTGATCGTTATGGAATAACCGTTTCACAGATGATATCGGGTATGTTCCTTATGTCGTAACTACAATACCCGTCCCTTTTCACGAATATGACCTACCGAATTAGACTATTTACCGGATTTGTAATAACATAAGCAACACGACGGATGCCACATGTGGAGAAGGATCTGCTTACCCTTCCGGAGAACCTGAGATCACCCCAGTTTTTGGTGGGGTTCGTGTTGCTTAGTCTTTAGTTTTCTATGTTGTGTCATCTGTACTATTATTTGTCTGTTTGTATTTTTATTTTTGGCCATGGCGTTGTCAGTTTGTTTTCGATCTATGAGTTTGACTGTCCCTATGGTATCTTTCGTCCCTCTTCTAGTGATACAGTAGGTCGACTACGTAGACCACTAGCCCACCAAGGCCCCTATACCAGTTGACCCCAGGGTAATCGGTGCTAATTAAGTTATTGAAAAATCGGTTCTTACTGTGACGTAATCACATTAGCATTGTGACAGAGAAAATGTACGGGAAAGTGCACGAATTTTATACTATTTGTGTGCCAATGTCGCCAGATTTTCGAATCCAGGAATGGATATTGTACTCCAACATGTAAAGTTGTCCTTAGATTGATTTGGATATTAATGTTAGGTCCCATTAGATCATATAGCACTTGTCATGTACTATACATTCTTGGCTTTTAATCTTTTGTCTATTAGCGTTCTAGATGGAGGTGAATATAGAAAAGCGCTTGGATGCATATTCTTTATAAAGTGTTATTTTCTTTTTTTTTAAAGCTTTGAAATAAAACTTTTTTTCCATGATCATTATTATAATGTGGTAAAATTTATTCTATAAATTTAAAAGCAAAATAAAACTTGAAATATTGGAAGGAGTACGTGAACTTTGAGTCATTACCTTAGCATTACTATCGTACGTAAAAGGAACATGGTGTCCATTAAAATTAGCTATGGTTGGTCTGGAGTGGACACCAAAGATAACTACAGATCCTAGAGTCATCTTTACTGCATAGTCGTATAGTACAACTTTGGATTTTAGTCGGGCCTAAAATGATACAGAATACATATATAACATTTTCCATATACCATTTAGACAAAAATTGAGAAATTAAAAGATGATGTATGACCTTCAATTATATAACTCTTTACCTGAGATCAAAAGAACAAATGACGTCGACAGTAATTTACCGATAACCTACACTATTCAATGCATTTGATAAATACATTTTAAGACAAAAATCTAAAGATATTCTATTTCCTTTAACGGGAAGAAATTGGTATGTCAGCGGTTAAGCGTCTTCTCAAATAAATGCTAGACACCCATTCAAATTCAGTAAAAAAATGTCACTTCATGAAAAAGGTTGAGCAATTGAATATCTGAACACCTACAGGTTTAAGAATGATCTTCAAAAACGAGATAAGCCGATGGGGGAACTTTTGAAATGTCCACATACATTCAAGTGTAAAACAAGATAAAAAGATAAGCAACAGCTTTAGTCAAGTCAATTTTGGAAAACCATCAAAGAAATATGAAATAATGACTTTGACAACTAGAATATTACAGACATGGTTTGGAAGAGTCACATTAAGCATGTATAGGGTTAAAACATAATCCACCCAAACCTTTGACAGGGGTATGACAGTAAAATATTGCCATTAACTGTAGCATTAACGAAAAAAAAGTATTTTGCTATCCAGTTCAGAATCAAGTGTCAGAAATATAATCACCATTACAAACATTGAGAAACTGAACATTACTTTTCAATGCTGACACGTATTCTTAGAGGTTGCTACTGATTATAAATATACAAGAAAACGTTACAACTTTGCATTTGGTTGTATATTTTTAAAAAACATAGCTGAAGAGTTATTTTGAAATGGTGCTAAATTGTGGTTTGGAACATAATTTGAGTGCGTTTGGTCAGTGACGTAAACAAACGATGTATTTTGTCGCTTTTAACTGAAAAGAGTTCCTTTTATCATTGTTTCGCCTCATATAAGATATGCATGTGGTTGTCCTATATGATATTTAATCAAGACAAGAGGCTGTGAAATGACATCAAATCGGTTTTTGCTTAAATTTATCAGTGTCGATTTCAAAGAAATCAAGGACCATAACTCTTCAACGACAAAAGTGTAAATCGTCTAAACTGAACCTCAATTTTTTCATCTGTAACAACATATCAAATTAGAAACACATTAGTCAAACGGTTCGCAAGTTATTGCCTGATCGACCATCGTACTTCCCAATATTAATGATAGAATCTTTCCGTCGACAAACCCTGTTAATAGTCCAGTCAAATTAGATTGGTATATTTATGTGTTTAGAAGAATAGTTTAAATTGACTATGAATATTGGTCATGAATAAACCGAAATAATAATACCCTGTCCTTGATCAATATCTTTAGAAAAGATTTTATACTAAATTATTGTAAACTTGCTTTTGTCTATTCCTGAAATTAACACTGGTGCTTTTATTTAAAAATATGAATAAATGCTGACCGTAAGGCCCGTATTCATAAAGGGGGTTTTAAATAAACTCGGTTTAGGCTTCAACTCAGTTTAGTTAAACCTAGGATTGGAGTTTAAAATAAAACGTATTCCTAAAGCGATTTTAATCCCAGTTTAACTAAACCAATTTAAAACTTCGTTTAAAATTTAAACAACGTTTTAATTTTAAAACCAGCATACGAAAGTAAAAATTTCTGGCTCTGCACCGCAACATTTTCTGGAAGAGCATTCACAGCACTATTCAACGTTGCGATTGAGAAGGTCTCATTTCATGAGTGTTAACGAAAAGGATAGAAAGCCAAAATGCCAGTAAAAACGACGGGAAATCAAACAAAGTGTAGTAGTCAGTCGAGTACCAGCTTAACTTTTTAAGAGACGGAACATTCAATTTACTTTTGCCATAATCATAACGTCACATATGCGACTAGCCAAGAGATTTCCAGGCTTATTAGGGTACATTGTCTAAAATTGACTTTTTGCATATTTATCAAGTACATACAGAAACAAAACACTCTGTCAAGTTATTATGACCAATGTGTTTTAATAACAATTAAACGAGTCTTTTTGAAAATCGGCATAATAATACTGTATTTGATGACGATTTTTTTTTATCATCGAAAGCACTACATACACAATTATTGTATTTTATTGGCACTTAGTATTCTCCAACAGGGTTTTTGAATACAAATTTTAAATGAATTAAATTTATCTACAATACAAACAGTTCTTTGCTCTCTTTCAGAAAATGTAATCTAAAATTGTTGTAATGAAATTAGTATAAAATTTTGTCAAAGAAAGCTTCAGTCGAATAATGTTTAATGGTCATTTCAAAGTATTTGTGACGAAAAGGATTAACACTTTACCTTAGCTTCTGTTTTTGCTGGCAACTACCGATAGTGGACAAAAGAGAGTTCCATCTACAAAGATGTCCTATCATTTCAACTAAACTCGATATTTTTCAAAAAAATATTACTAAGTAACTACATGAGCGATTTTTATAAAAAAAAATACCATAAGATGTAGAAATGTTTAAAATTTATTTGTTTATTGGCAATTTATCGTTTGAAGTGAAGTGAATCTACATATATTAAATGGATAAAAAAAAAAATCTGCTCTGACTATAGATTTATCTAAATGAAATCTAAAATATAGCATAATAAATGTAGCGTATCAAATGCATAAATGAGATTTTAGTTTGTGAACTATTGCTTATAAACTGTTACGCTTCCCATGCTATGTGGTGAAGAGACATGCATCATAAATATAAGTTAAAAGACAAATTCATAAAAAAATTAAAAGCTTTCTTTGACAAATTTTATGCTTACATAATTACAACAAGTTTAAATTACATTTTCTTACGACTTCTTACGACTTCTTGGATAAAAACTGTGTCTGGTCTTTTCTGTTTACTTATTTATGGATTATTGTACATCGCATAAACTCAAATCATTCGTTTTACACCAATCCTAGTATAGATAAACACATCTTCTCTCTTTAAATCCCTTTAAGACGCTTTTATTCACATTTATGTAGACAAAAGCATTGAAAATAATATATGTTGGGAGGGGGATTATTTAAAAGTGGCTATGGCTTTATAAACATAAGATGTGGTATGATTGCAAATGAGACAACTTTCATATATTCAACATCCTGAAAACAGACCCATTCATATATTTGACATCCTGAAAAACAGACCCATTCCAGCGGCACGTCTGTATATACCTTTATATTATACTCTATTGGATATTTAGAATGTGTTATTTCGGTCTAATCCGTACTAACTCCAACCCAAACCACTCTAGTGTAAAGCTTGCCGTCGTTAACAGCCGGAGTTAATATTCATGAGGCCAGCCTTCAATAATATTCATGAGCCATCAATAATATTCATGAGGTGACTTGCGTTCGATGAAGTGCTGTAAGAAACTATCGATTATTATGATAAAATAACGTTTTTTGTTTATATTTGATATTGTTTCAAACATGCAAGTCAATGGGTGTCTTCTTCGAGGTCCGCGTTTACTTAATCAATTATAAAAAGGAAATATTAGTCTTCTGCCAGGTCTGCGTCTTTTAACAACATTTAGAATGAAAGTTAAAAAAAAAGGGTGATGCTTCCATAAACATAAAACCAAGAACCGATCTATTCAAAATTCTGTGATAAGTGAAATAATGTAGAAATTTAACGATTACTATGAATTAAGAAATTGAACGAAAGAGATGAAATATGCATAATTATGAATCTTGAAAACGGGAAATTCTCCCGGAAAATTAAATAGAGCAGTTCTTATAAATATCTCTGACTTCTCGAAGTATTTAAATATTTAACAATTATACATTACACGTAAACTGAAAGAAATTAAAAGGAATTAATTGTCTACAAATATAGTCCCATCTCAAAAGTACTACACACCGTAAATGCGATTGTTTATCTTCCATTTTAAACAGCCCAGACAAACAAAAAGTTTTACAATTAAAGAAGAAATAAAAACTGACAGTGACTTTATCAATGACCTTTCATTATTCAAAGCTACGGAGATCAAGCAGAGTCATAACATAATCAGGGTATTGCCATTCCGAGGTAGGCATTGCCTTAAAAATGGCCCAAAACACTTATGCCCTAGACCCGTACGAGTTTGTCAGCAAAGGGTAAGGAGGAGTACCCTGGTATATCAAAAAGTCAAAATTAACCATTGCCGGCTGGTCAAACTAATAGATTCACATGGGCCAAGATACCAGTGATAAAGGTAGGCATTGCCATTAAAAGGGTCCATAGCACTTATGCCCTAGACCCGTACGAGTTTGTCAGCACAAAAAGTTTTACAATTAAAGAAAAAATAAGAAGAAATAAAAACTGACAGTTACTTTATCAATGACTTTTCATTATTCAAAACTTCTTGACACTTGAACATTACTGAATATTAGTGCCTACGTTCACTTTTGGTTTATACACAATATATGTGTACTTCGTGTTACAAACATAAAACCAATTTTGCTTAAACACGTCACTGAAACATTAGAGTGGTTTTTGTTTCCTATTGGTTTTTAATTGTTGGTTTTTGTTCTTTATTTGTTTCAGTTTTTTGTTTTAGTGGATTCTTTTTCTTGTTGTTTAGGTTTAAAATGATTTGTTATTTGCAAATTTCTAAAAGGAGGGTAAAAACGCCGATGTACTCACGTTTTCAGCCGTGAATTCAATAAAATTATTATTTTGACCACCTGTTGTGTCTGAAATTGAGAATATACAATAAGATGTAGCTAATTTCAAATTTAGAACTTTTCGATATTTCATACTACTTAATCTTACATCGCTAAATAATTCAAAGTTTGTTTGGTGACTATATTGAAAACGTCTATTCCATAGAACTTGAGATTAAAAATACAACAGATACAGTTAAGTCTGTCTCATATCTTGAATTACATCTAGAAATTAACAAAAGGGTCGATTGAAAACAAAACTTTACAAAAAAAAGAGATGAGTTCATCTTCACAATTGCGATCATTCCATTTCTTTGTAGCAACATTCCATCGGCGCCTGCATATGGAGTATATATCTCCAAGTTAATACGATATTCCAAAGCTTGCATTACCTATCATGATTTCCTTGATAGAGGGTTGCAACTTACAAGGAAGCTTTTTGACAACGAGTTCCGAGTGGCGAAGTTGAAATCTTTCCTTCGAAAATATTACGGACGCCATCACGAGTTGGTTGGCCGTTAGGGAGCTACCATTTGATTTTTATGGGGAGGGAGGGGCTAGGATGAAAAATGTTGTCCTGTATTTTTTTTAGTTGTAATCTCTGTCCTGCCTTTTTACTTTTCACTCAATTCGGTCCTACCTTTTTTTTTATTAGTTTATCCTGACTTTTTTTACATAAATTTTCATCCTGCCTTTTGTTTGCCAAGTTGCTCATCCTGCCTTTTTTTTTAGTTGCTCAAAACTCCTGTCAATCCTTTTTTTCAAATTTCATCCTAGCCCCCCTCCCCCCTAAAAAATCAAATGGTAGCTCCCTTATGGAAAATCTGTTTCACAGATGACGAGGGATATGTTCCAATCGTCGTAACCTTAATCTCATCATCTTTTCCTCGAATGTGAACAACCGAAAAAGACTTATCACCGGGTTTGTACTATCATTATCAGCTTGACGGTTGTCACATGTGAAGCCGGACCTACGTATTCTTCTAAAGCCCTTGCAATCACCCATGTGTTTCTGTCGGATTAGAGGTGCTCAATCTTTAGTTTTCTGTGTTGAGATTATGTGCTGTATTTTGTCTTTTTGTTTTTCGTAATTTGCCATGGCATTGTCAGTTTGTTTTCGACTTATGAGTTTAATTATCCCTTTGGTATATTTCGCCTTCTTGTGAAATCCTGCCTTACATTTGCCGTTGATTTGCAAGGATATAATACAGACACTAAAGTTTGAACTCCCTTAGTTCTTCGGCTATTCTTTATCGGTCCATTTTGGTCATATGGCTCCTAACGTTCCTACATATTTATAAAACCCTGGCTTTCATATGTTAAGGTTTGAGCGTTCCCGATGAAGGTAAACCCAAGTGCTTTGGATGAACGAAATTTAAAAAGTGTAATTTAATTTACTGTAAAATAAATAAAATCAGACGGCCTTTTTTAAACCTTTCAAATTGCAAAGAAACTATTAACAAGTCTTCCATAAAAAAATCAGAAAAAAACAAAAAGATAAAAGTAACAAAAATATTACAATTTTTTTCTCAAAGAAAATGGTATATGTGTACACTATAGTCATACCATAAGATTCGCCATTATCCCAGAATAACTCTCCTGATGCCAAACCTGTTGTGGAAAGTGCTACCAATAAAGTAAAATCTTTGGTGCGACTAAAATGTAAATGCATTAGTGCATACATATTTTGAGTTGACCAGAATTATATCAATTTCAATGTATTCAGTGGCAGAGGGGACATAAAAGATGAAAAAAATACCTGTCCAAGTCAAATATGAAAGATCAACATTCATGTTCAAATCAAACATAAAAGATTAATGAAATGACAATACTGTTCGTGAGTAATCAACAATGTTTTCCTTCATACATTTTATAATATAAAAAAACAGCTTTCTCTGGTATGAGTTATGTCTGTTGATTTATTTATGATTGATTTTTACTTATTCTTTTACGCGAGCTTTTTTCTTGCTCTTTTCTTGTTCTGTTATTTGTTTTTGAATCAATATCTTATTAGAATTTACAATATATTTTATTCTTCATTATTTTAGTTTTTTCAATTTATATGATTCCCGTAACTGTGTGGTTTTATTCTATAAATTCTTAATGCATTTACGAGAATTTAGACCTCGGTAAACTATTGTTGTCATTATACATTGCAATACCTGATCTTTCACCTGGTGCTTCTTCCCGGAAATATTTGACGTCAAAAAAACATAATCTTCTCGTTACAAAAAGGTCAAATGACGCGTTTACCCCCAAATGACCAGGTCAACCGGTGCAGTTCATTCATAACATCGAAATAGTAATATCGTACATTAGACAAGTTTAATATGTTATCATTCACCTTTTAGTTGTAGTAACATCGTGATCTTGAGTAGGTATTATGACACCGCCACGTATATGTGCATTGATTTTACTGAGGGGAGCATCAAAAACATGTGTTCCTCCCATTGATTCCACACCAGTCTCTATGTCGAACCAGTTTCCTGCAGGAAGGTATGCAGTTACAGTTGTAGCTCCCTTAATGAAAAATAAAATGTAATGCTTTTTCAAAATAAAAAGCTATGTACCACGTTTGATAGTAATTTTCAACGATTAAGCTGGTGCATTTTATAAGCGAAAGAAACAATAGTATCCAGTATATTTGAAGAAGTGTATTAAGCAGTACTTAAATATATACAAGATAAACAAATTTGGTATTCTCGGATTTCATATTTATTTTATTCGGACGCACAGAATTTTTGAAGTTTTAATTTCATTATAACGCTGCTGGTGGTCTGTAAGTTAACAAGGGTATCTTCAGCTCAGTAGTCAGTGCTGACATGATTTATATCATATACTAATTGGGGGCCTTCAAACTCTTACATCTTATCTAAGATGTGCTTTAATTGATACCTTATGAATTTCATAGAGTTTTGCGTTTAAACAATAAATATTCTGTTCAGGTGAAGGTGCTGATTATAATTTTTAATTCTATTTCGAGATAACAGAAAATCATTATACAAAGATTTACTAATTATGGCCTCCAAAAACAAACGAACTTTTCAACGAAAACAGACATGCTTGCCTTTCAAAGCAACCGACTTCATTTGGGGTTTGTATTGACGACCTTTTTGTTTATCGTATATTTTGCCCTTGATTTCTGGTTTACTTTTGACACAGCTTGTTATAACATGCATGTTATCTATCTAGAAATACTGAAAATTGAACACCTACTTTACAGGGTTTTTATCGACTTGTTTTCGTACATCCGTTTTTGCTACATGAATGTTAACTTGATTTTTTTTAAATGTACAATGTTTTTCGTACAGCTGTTTATTGCGTACTCTGATTCTTTAATGTTAGGAATTAACAACTAGTATCCATATTTCATATATATATATTATATGAAGAATTACACACCTTGACCAAAACTGGAGATATCAAAAGTCCACTGCCCCATAAGAACTGTCTGTCGATATCATAGGTTTTCGGATCTTGTGGAAATCTGCAAGTTCATATAGTAAGTCAATGTCTCTTCTTTTCATGTACCATTAGTTTTCAATTACATGAATATAAAGACAAAGTATTAGTGTCCTAAAGTCTTCACTCCTTTGTTCAATATTGATGTAAAAATACTCTTTTACTATGTGTACATCCAACGTGTTTGTGCTAATTATGTTACTATCAAACTGCTAAATAATAGCCAGGTTTTGATAAGCCAACAGATTGTTGCCTATTTCTTATTTGTCAGGTTGTGTTGTTTAGGACATACCGTATACTATAAGGAATATTTATCTAGTAATGTCATCGTTGAATTACATGAAGAAAATGAGATGAGATAGAAACCCGTCGACAAAAATAACCAACATTCAGTTTGCAAAGGAAAAGGGTTTATTGTTATATGATTAGCAGTCCCTATCCTATCTTATTTATTTTTCGCATTCACATGTACCATATCTCTTTCTAATTTGAAACGCTAAAATTTACTCTAACAAACGTACATATGATGTTTTACTTGTAGAGGTAATACGTTCTATAACTACCACTTACTGGAAAAATAGAGGCCTGATAACTGGCCTCCCATCTGTATGACTTCTGTAGAACAATGTATAAAGGTAAGGTAGAAGTCTGTATCTCTGCTCTAATGCTTTTTTCATTATAGGTAATGTGCTTGTAAACAGGGAACTTGCTGGATCTTGACCCTGTAAAAATTATCAATTTTCATATTTCTAAAATTTGCTCTCCGTAATTATTTTTTATAATTAATCAAGTGTTTAGTTTTTCTAGTTTGATTTTTTTTAACATTTGGTCGTGCTGAGGCCTTTTACAGATTACTATATGGTATGGTTTTGCACATTGTTGAAATCAATACGATGATCTATTGTTGTTTACAACTACGTGTTTTGTTCTCTAGTTGATACTTGTCTCATTTGCAATCTTACCACATCTTATTTTTATATAACGAATATAAGAACTTACAACATAAAACAAATTGAATAATTCAGTTGAAAAAGGCCTCTGCTAATCAGATCGGCACGATGTACAACAAGAAGATTATTTGGATACTACCCCCTTTCTATTTTTTTTTCAATTAATAGATGTAATGGCATCCAAATGTAAATAAGAATCATGTTCACAACGATGCTTAGTATCATCTTTGTCAGGCAGTGCATTATGAATTTTCTCTCCGTGTTTAAATCTATTTTCGAGTTTGACATGAAGAGCAACAATGTTATTTTATGTCTTTGCATTTGCTTTGAACCAGAATGTGTATTAATTTTGGTGTAATTAAGAATCCCATATCCCCTTTTTCATTTCCAAATGAGGTGGCTGTGTTGAAGAGAAATTTGTTTTTCTGTAAATCTATATAATTTCCTATTTACATCTCCATCTCTGTCTCGATGATTGCGCATAAAGGGATAAAAAGCACCCAATTGCATCCACCTGGTACAAAGTTCAACATCAACTGCACCAGCAAATCCGCATATATCAGCTCCAACCATTGGAATTCCAAACATGTTGAAATTGATTATACCTGAGAAAATAAAATATTTTGCAAAAGTCATTTCCATTTCTATGTAGCAACATTCCAGCAGCGCCTGCATACGGAGTATATATCTCTCAATTGATACGATGTTCCCGGGCTTGTATTTTCTATCATGATTAACTTGATAGAGGGTTGCTGCTCACAAGGAAGCTATTAAACCAACCCTTCATAACTTTTACGGACGCCATCACGAGTTGGTTGACCGTTATGGAATAACCGTTTCACAGATGATATCAGATATGTTCTTTATATCGTAATTACAATCCACTTCATTTTCACCACGAATGTGACCTACCGAATTATTTCCCGGATTTGTAATAACATGAGCAACACGACGGTGCCACATGTGGAGCAGGATCTGCTTACCTTTCTGGAGCACCTGAGATCACCCACAATTTTTGGTGGGGTTCGTGTTGCTTAGTCTTTAGTTTTCTATGTTGTGTCTTGTGTACATTTAATTGTCTGTTTGTCTTTTTATTTTTTAGCCATGCCGTTGTCAGTTTATTTTCGATCTATGAGTTTGATTGTCCCTCTGGTATCTTTCGCCCCTCTTTCATTAGAAACATAAACTTAGTGTGGTATTGAAGGAAATGTAAATATGCATTGATAGCATTTTCAAAATGAAAACCAAAACATAATAAATTCTCCTGTAATTGCCAACGGATGATCTCGAACCTCTGAAATGTTATTTGAGGTGAACGATAATGAGACAACAACCAGAAAATTTAGTATTCTGTTTGTATAAGTAAATTTCTCACTTTCTTGAGCGATGTTGTCTTCAATTTAAATGCATATCTTTTTAACTTACTTATTAAAACAAAACTGGTACATTTCTATACAGATGTCAAAAAAACATTCAACTGAATTATAAATCTCGACAATAGTTTTCTTATTAGATACATCTTGTCTCTGTATGTTATTTTGATAATACTGGTCATAAGAACATGTTTGCACCATATTGTATATACCAGAGATGGAATAAATGAGATCAGCCCATGTACTATGATTATCGCCAGTCCAGTGTCCGGTATACTTTCCACTGCCAGCAAATGTAGACCGTGAAATGACAAGACTTCTTTTATCTCGAATTTTCTTAAGTGTACTGAAGAAAAAATATATTCCATTGTAGAATCTTTTTATCAACTATCACTTACATGTTCATCGTATATCCTTTGAAAACTATAAATTCATCCGTTTGCTTATTATATAAGTCATGTGAATTGTCCAGTTGATACAGGTTTTGATTTTTTTTCCTGTGGATTCAGAAATGTTAACGAAAGGTGATTATCAAATATTGAAAACAACAATTCATAAGTTTCTTACGTCTGAAGAGCTTTTTTCTGTATTTACCTTCACTAGGAACGCTTGAAGCCGAATATTTGAAAGCCGAGGATGTATAAGAGAGGCAACAGATACCAAAAGGGACATTCAAATTCATAACTCGAACACAAACTGACAACGCCATGGCAAAAAACGAAAAAGGTAAACAAAACATAATATGGAAAACTAAAGACTGAGCAACACGAACCCCACCAAAAAACTGTATAAGAACCGAAACAGCTGAAGAACATTATCAACAACAAAGGTGTAGTATATTTGCCAATTCCTGTTATTTCTTTTTTTATATTACAAACACTTCTGATAAGAACAACAAACACTTACAACTGCATTAAAATTAGACTACCTTTCGTGTTTATTTTATTGATAATCTTATAACAATGATACTTAGTTTACATAAACTGCTTGATAAATGAATTAGATATTCACAATTCACTTGGAAACTAAACATTTACCCCAACGACACTCACCAAGGAGGAATTCTTGTGTAGTAATAGGTCTGTACTATGTACCTCTGGATGTCAACTAAAGATGAAGAACCGTTTCTTTATTCATTGTATTGGATACCTAAACTACATAAGTGTCCTAACACACAACGTTATATTACTGGGTATTCCAAGGGCTCCCCGAAACCTCTTTCTAAATTATTAACATCAATTTTTATCAGCAATCAAAACCGGCCGTCAAAGTTATTTCGAATCTACCCATTCTAGAGGTGGGGTGAATCAGATGTGGATACTAAAAAAATCTTAAGTTCTTTTAGGGTACATACAATCTAAGACTCTTTCATCTTGCAATAGTATTAAAACATTTGACCTTTCTACACTTTACACAAGTATTCCCCATTCCAAACTATAAGACAAATTAAAAGAGCTGGTCCTGTTTTGTTTCATAAAAAAGAATGGCCCACGTAGATACAATTTTCTTGTCTTAGGGAGGGATTAATCGTACTTTGTAAAAAATCATTCTGATTCAAACAAATAATTCTCTGAAACTGACATTATCAAGATTCTTGATTTCTTGATTGACAACATATCTGTTACGTTTGGAGGGCGTGTTTTTCAACAAACAATTGGCATTCCCATGAGAACCAACTGTGCACCTTTTCTTGCCAACTTTTTTCTTTATTCATATGACGTTGACTTCATACAGGAGCTTCTTAGGAAAAAAGACAAGAAATTAGCATTATCCTTCAATTTTGATTTTCGGTATATAGATGATGTTTTCTCACTAAATAATTCAAAGTTTGGTGACTATGTTGAACGTATCTATGCCATCGAACTTGAGATAAAGGATACAACCGATACAGTTTAGCCTGTCTCATATCATGACTTACATCTAGAAATTGACAATGAGGGTGGGTTGAAAACAAAACTAATCGACAAAAGAGATGATTTAAGCTTCCCAATTGTGAAGTTTTCATTTCTATGTAGCAGCATTCCAGCAGCGCCTGCATATGGAGTATATATCTCTCAATTGATACGATATTCCAGGGCTTGTATCTCCTATAATGATTTCCTTTATAGAGGGTTGCTCTCACAAGGAAGCTATTAAACCAAGAGCTCTAAGTGGTGAAGTTTAAATCGTCCCCTCGTAAACTTTACGGACGCCATCACGACTTGGATGACCGTTATGGAATATCTGTTTCACAGATGACTACGGAAATGTTTTCAATTGTCGTAACTACAATCCCGTGCCCTTTTCCCCGAATTTGACGTACCGAATAAGACTTATCACCAGTTTTGTACTAACATGAGCAACATGACGGGTGACACATGTGGAGAAGGATCTGTTTATCCTTCCGGAGCAACTGAGATTATGCCCAGTTTTTGTGGGGTTCTTGTTGCTCAGTCTTTAGTTTTCTATGTTGTTTTTTGTGTGCTGTTGTTTGTCTGTTGGTCTTTTTTCTTTTTTAGTCATGGCGTTGTCAGTTTATTTTCGACTTATGAGTTTGAATGTCCCTTTGGAATCCTTCGCCTCTCCTTGACAACGAAGAGATTAAAAACTAGATCCTTGTTGCGCAATGCATTGGTATAAATAACATTTTGAGTAATGCTGATAAAAGCTTTGTGTTTATCGAAAGTTTTGAATGAAGTCGAAATGAAATATATAAAGAAGCCTTCATACTATTTCTTTGGACTTCATGCATTCAGCGTACTTTTCTTAGAACTTTAAGATTTACTTACTCGTAAGTAGCTTTAGCCTCAAAATGTCCATACAAGCTGTGTAGATTGTAATGTGATGAAAGATGTTGCTGAGCGGAAGTACACAATGTTTTGTCAATCATGTCACCAGTAATAGCTGAAACAATTTTCCTGACTTTTACTTTTACTTATATTTAATTTTTAATATAAAAAAATGTTTTCAGATGATTATCGAATGCGTCTTACATACGGAATTCCCTTTTAAAATTAGTTTCATTCATTATAAGAAAAAGCAAATGACAAAAGTGATTATATGAAAACTCATATATTTTCATGCTATTATATATGGTTTGCAAACGTTCATGATTGGGAATACCGGCTTGTAACTCACGTGGAACAAAAGGAGGTTCGTCAATGTTTCCTGTTGTGCAGCCTGTTAAGGAACCTTTCACAAAATTGGATGGTTCATTCATGTCCTGAAAGATACATTGTAAATTATTATAAAAGGAAATGCGTATTAAACACTATCGTTTAATCAAAAATGGGGTTCATGACTGGCGTCTAAACAAGAAATATATCATATATAACCGTGTTTTAATTAGATAAAGAGAACATGACGCTCATAAATAACATGTTTGTGCCCCTGTGATTTAAAACGATTCGGCAGTTGATAGTAAGGAATTTTTGGCGGAATATCAGAGAAACAAAAAGCTCAATTTTTCATCATTTTATGTCCATAAATGGCATTTAGAAATTTGTTAAGCAAGTACAAACTTATACAAGTGGTTGTCTCTTTCGAAAAATTGAGATATCGTGGTCAGTTGATCAAAAGTCAAGCTGTTAAAAGGTTAAGATTGACCCTACACTGTGCCAATTTTGAGCTTTGCTACTTATCGGAAAATCCAAGATGGCTGTCATCATGGAAGGCAGTAGCTTTAGTTTAACATACAACCTTATGAGAAAGACAGAAAAAGCTCATAAAACATCTGGTGTGGGCACAACCAATGCATAAACTCAGTAGAGAAACACTGTCAAAAATAATAACAATGATAAAACAATTACTGATCTGTGTCTTGTATTATATATGTATATATAATTATTTTTCGGTCATAGGTAAGAAACTTTATTTCTTATGCAGCAAAAATACTGCAATCTGATTGGTTAATTACCCCGGTGTAAATAACACCCCACCCTTGTTCACCCCGGATAAATAAAATTTTGCCAAAAAATAAAAAATTTGCCAAAATGTCAAAAAAAAAAAAAAATGTCAAAAAAAATAAAAAAAATAAATAAATAAAATGCCAAAAAATAAAAAAAAATAAAAACTAAATAAATTTGAGGACAAAACTTAAAAAAAATTCCGAAATTCAAAAGAACATAATTTTGTTTCTGAATTTCCCAAAAATAAGGAAAAAAAGTATTTGTCAATACGCAGCAACATCAACGTTGAAAAAATGTTACTCTGGAAATTTTTCATTAGCATTTTTCTATTTTACATCCCGGTTTAAAAATGAGTAAAGGAATTGTTCATAAGAAATAAATTCGTTATCTTGGTGTAATCAGGGGTGTACGGAATTTTACACCGTTGTTGAAAATTCATAAGCCCATTCGGCTGCGCCTCAGGGTGTATGAATTTTCAACAACGGTGTAAAATTCTGTACACCCCTGATTACACCAAGATAACTAATAGTACACAAGTATTATGTGTATTTCAATCGTGCTTCTAATTATAGTTTCGCTTCTTCAGACGCATTTACTTTTCATTATGATAATTGTATATTACTTAGGGTTGAGTGTCCTGCTTTGTTTCAATTAAATACTATTTGTGGTAAACATTCTTCACATATATCATAGTCTTTAAGTGAATAACATAGACAACTTAGTTTTCGCTAGAATAATGAATACAACTGTAATTATTTGTACTGAAATAGGACTTTGAAATACTTACAATCCAGAGTCCATCATAATTGACTTTATCATGGAAAGCCTTCGCATGTGTATACCAGTAATTTTCTGCATCAGGATGAGTGAAGTCAGGAAACACAGTGTTACCTGGCCATACCTACAAAGTGTGTATTGAAATTATCCATTACACAGGGGTGCTAGGGAAGACATAAAATCAATCTTTGTTCGCTGTTCATATCTAATGTTATTTTAAACGCTTGCATTAGGTTTTTTGATTTTCTAATATGTTGACCTCGAGCATCACCGCAGTGCGCATCTGGGCTCTCGGTTATAAAACTTTACTTAGTACTCAGAGTACAAAATTTGTTCTCGAAACACCAAATCCATGATTTTGATTGGTTGATTTCTGAGTCTGAGTACGAAAATCGTGCTCGAAAGTTTTATGACCGCAAGGCCAGGTGCTTTAAAATTGGCAGCGATAATTTTATTATTCTATAGTGGACAATGCGCATTTAAAAAATAATATCCTCTGTATAAGGTATCTTGAATTATAAAACAGCAGTATACAATCGGTCTAGTTCTTTGCCTAAATTTGCAAATTTTGAGTCAGATTTGCAATTACTAAGTAATGTGTAGACTGTTTAATATAGAAAAATAAGAGAGTTATTGGATAATTTAGACTGTTCTAACAAATACCATATATTTGTGTTTGTCCGAAACAAATTTTCAACAGCCATTTAAGGGGAAATGACTCTAATAGACAAAATTTTGGAATGGAATGTTGAAGAATTTTACCTTTTTTAATTGTAGCAAGAAAACAAGTTCGGTGACACCATTTTGTCTTTTTCTTTTTCTTAAAGCATATTATAAAAGCTATTTTCTCATACTTTACTAAAAAATTCTCTCATAGATTTATTTTAATTACAAAAAGTGTTTTTCATGAATAATCTATGCAAATTTTGACAATTTTGCACGACTGGTAGCTTGAAAATTGCACGGTGACCCATACTTTTTATTATATTTTTGAAAAAGCATGGTAAAATCTACATTTTGGCAAAGAATAAGAAAATTCTATCTGAAGGAATATATACGGATGATCCAACGTAATTGATACTGTTATAACACAGAAGTGTTATAATGTTCCATTGTCTTTATGGGATTGTATGATGAATAACCTCTATTCGTCAATCCAGAGAATTCAACGACTGCACTATCTTTATTTTGTTTGGCTGTTATTGTCTGTATCATAAATTCTTTGTTGTCACCGACCTTCACCTTTTGTGGAGGAGGGTTGATGACTAGTTTTTCTCTGGAGACAATTTTTTCTCCTGACCTTGATTAAAAAAACAAGAATTTTTCAATAACCTGTAAGAACAACAATGATTTCTTTTAAACGTTGAACTAATTTTCAATGGAAACAAACTATTGTGTTTACTTCTCTTCTGAAACAAATTATTTGTTTCAAGGAAATTTATTCCACACAATTCCTGTCATTTTGATAGAATACCCCTCTTTACACTGTTAACAAAAAGTACTTTTGTCAACGAATGATCGAATCCACCATTTCTTACCTTCCCAACAATAAAACTTGAGTTGTCATGAGTCTTTATAAAAATTCCTCTCTGCACTCCATCGTCATACGGGGCATATCCTACAGTATTGCTTATTCCAGGGTCCTGAAATTAAAATACAATATGTATCCATTGATAAAAATTACAATAGAACATAAACTTAATGCAATATTTCCGGAAAAACGTTCTAACGACATAAGCGTAAAAGTCCCTCATGCAAATTAGGGCGTGATCGGTAAGTAGATACCGATTTCTATTAATTAAAAAATATATAGTTTTGTCACGTGGAAAGAAAGGCCTATTGAAGATATAGCGGTAGATATTGTCTCTCTTTCAATATTGATTGCCAGCTCTAACAATTTTGTTGTTTTAAAGAGCAGTTTTTTCTTCTGCAAAACTTTATCTGATTGATAAAAATTCAAACGATGAAACTCTTTTCTTCTTTGTTGTGTTTCTGTAATATGCGTTACTGTACAGTATCTTTTACATTTGGAAATTTGCCAATTGTAACCTATTCCTGAATGTGACATTCCGACTGAGTATGGATTCGTATGACACGTGATACAGGCAGAGCAGAAGACTGTTACCTTGTCAACGCACCCGATCTCTCTCCTTTTTAGCTTGATTTGCATCTTCTTAATGGATTTATGAGATCGGATAACAACTGATGTCTCGAATTCATACCTATTTCTTATTATCTAGAAGCATCTGAATAACTTAGCATATTCGTAGCAAAATATTTACTACTTAAAATACAAAAACAACAAGCATAAACATAGAAAAAAACATTCAAAAAAGAAAAAGATGACTTACTACGATTGGTATAAAATGCATTCCGTAACTATGTAAATCGTTAACAAGATTTGGTAAGTCACTGAAGCTGTTAGGGTCCAAAGTCCAGTCTTTATAACTGTCCATGTAGTCTATATCAACCCACTGAGTGTCCTAAAATAGTATATCATGCATGAGTATTTACCAAGAGATTTTACCTAATATTTGATCAAACATTTTCTAACTATGATTGTTTATTTTGGATTTAAAACAAAAGCCATCTCAGCTTGCATCTTGTTGTAGAGGGAACATGCCAAAGTATGTGCTGTCTTTTATTTCCTTATAATAAAAAGTAAAAGAGAGTCAGAAGATACCAAAAAGATATTCAAACACATAGTATAAAAATTAGGAGATGTGGTATCATACTATAGCAGGGGCCTCAGTGGCCGAGTGGTCTAAGTAGTCACTACTGTAATCACTAGCCAGTCAACACTGAGGTTGTGAGTTCGAACCCCGCTTGTGCGGGTGCACTCGACTCCAATCTTAATTGACTAGGATTGTCAGTTTTCCTATCGAAGGTCGGTGGTTTTCTCCGGGCACTCCGGCTTCCTCCACCAATAAAAACTGGCCGCCACGAAATAGCCCAAAAGCGGTGCTTAAAAGTGGCGTTAAAACACCATAAATCAAAAAATCAATCATACTATAGCTGTCAGTAACTGTGAGATCTGTAATTTGTGTCCTTTTTGTTTTTGAGGGATGTCATTGCTAATGAGACAACTATTCACCTAAGTTCAAATGAAGTACTAGTGGATGTAAGCAATTATAGGCAACCGAATAGCTTTAGGCAATGAAAAAAACATACAGCATAATCGGCTTTAAAAGGCCAGACATGAAAAAAAACATGAAACAATTCAATTGAAAAAACTTACGGCCTAATTTATAACAAAACAATTGACGAATAACAAATATGACAGACATGAACCAATGAAAAACCACTGAACTACAGACTCCTGATTTAGGATAGGCACACAAAGAATGTGGTGGGGTGAAACATGTGTGTGAACACTTGATCCTTCCCCTTACTTGGGACAGTGGTATTACAGCACAACATAAGAACAATCAGTAGAAAAGGCTTAACTCATCAGATCGATACAAAGGAGAAAAATATCCAATAAAACACAGATCGGACGTGACAGGGTATTTATACATCCCTCAAAACAAAAACAAAAAAAAAAGACACAAATTACACATCTGAAAGTACTCGAAGTTACTGACAGCTATTTCAAAGCAAATAACAACTAATAAAAGAATCATGTATCTAAGACTAAAATATCAATCAGGACACATTCAACATCCAATGGATTTAGTGTAAAGAAGCAATTTAAAGTCAGAGAAAAAACAAGACCTTAAGTAATGGCAAAATATAGGTATCGACAGATTGTAGTACCGTGAATGTGCACATGTATATAACAATAATATTTAGTATGGTTTTAATTTACTGATAACAAATTCAATCTTTATACCAATAAAAACAATATTCAAAGATCTAATTATAGTGTTGAATTGGTAACCATTAAGAATAAGTTTATGTAAGGGATGGATAAGTTTATCCGGTTCGTATCTAAATTTCCGGGCTCGGTTTACAACATAAAAATAAGGAGATGTGGTATGATTGCCAATGAGACAACTATCTACCAAAGTTCAAATGAAGTAGATGTAACATCACTGTAAAAATGGGATGTGATATCCGGTTTGAAACAAGTTTTCTACAGGTACAAACCGAATCTTTGTATCTACGGAAGAATTTAGTAAAGGTTTTGTGGTATCAAAATCCTCGACTTAATGATTTACCAGTAATTCATAGATAACGCTCATTGAAATTCTTCAAAACGTCACTACAGACACGGGCATAGCGAACATGTTGGGAAATATAAACACCGTAAGACTGTGCCTAAGGAAAATAACCGTCCAAAAAAGGAAAATTAACAATGGGAAAACAAAACTCTTCCTTTTGTCTTAAATTTTTGTGTAGAGTTTCTCGTGTAAAACTGAAATATCTAAATCTAGGAAAGCACAGTTATTATTGTTAATATTTGTTTATTGAAAGTAAGTTCCTTTGGGTAAATTTCGGCAGTATATTCAAGAAGATTCCTTAGTCAATGACAAACTGACAACGACTTGGCAAAAAACGGAAAACGACCAAAAGACAAACAACAATACACAAGACACCACATAGAAAACTAAAGATTAAGCAACAAAACACAGCCAAAACCGAGATGATATTATGTGCTCATGAAAGGTAAGGAGATCATGTTCCACATTAGACATCTGTCGTGTTTATCATGCAAGTACAAATTCGGTGATAAGTGGTCATGCTGCTGTTAGCTGTACTGCGCTGTTTTATATGTGTTTAGCTCAACGACATAAATTCTACAGAAAGGCAAAAATGGATGTTTGTGCAAACGTTTAACTGGTTTGACCCTACCAAAGTGTGTGTTTGTACAAAGCCATCTTATATAACTGAGATCACCCCCAGATTTTGGTAGGGTTCGTGTTGCTTAGTCTTTAGTTTTCTATGTTGTGTCTTTCTGTACTATTATTTGTCTGTTTGTCTTTTTATGTTTTAGCCATGGCGTTGTCAGATTATTTTCGATCTATGAGTTTGACTGTCCCTCTGGTATCTTTCGCCCCTCTTTTATATGGACCATGTGTTGTTGCTATTCATTGTTGTTCCAAAGAAGTCGGGTGCTGAAGGTTGATGTGATTTGTTTTACTTTGCGTTATTGTTTACGATTCCTAGTATCAGAAAATTTTATAATCGAAACTACATGTATCTTCTTTGCTGTATCTTTTTAGATACCATATTTCTTCAAATGAGCAGAAAGAATTAAAATATCAAACATACCGAACTCCAAGGAGAATTCAAACCGGAAAGTCCATTATCAAATGGCAAAATTAAAAGCTCAAACACATCAAACGAATGGAAAACAACTGTCACATTCCTGACTTGGTACAGGCATTTCCTTATGTAGAAAATGGTGGATTAAACCTGGTTTTATAGCTAGCTAAATCTCTCACTTGTATGAGAGTTTATTGATTTTTTGTCAAGTCTTAGACATATCATTTGAATGTTTCTGTTTATTCAATTATGTTTTTATTCATTTAAACTTATTATTTTATTTATTTTTTATATTTGTAATATTTTCAAAACTTACTCGATTTTGATGCACTATGATATGTGATTCAAGTAAATATAATTTATGTATTGATAGACTTACATAAGGTATTTGTTTTTTACGCATATCATTGACTATCAGTCGAAGATTGTCAGTGTTCGTGTATCCCCATCGACACAGATGAAAGCCGAGAGACCAGTATGGAGGCATCATAGTCTTACCAATAACTTCGGAGTATTGTTGTATTACTTGGTCAGGTGATGGACCCAGGAAAACGTAAAAGTCCAGAATTCCACCTGTGGTTTTGTAGTTAACTGATACGGGGTTCGTTTTGACAAGACCTATCTCTGTGTCAACAAAATAAAAAAAAATTTGTATCACTTCTTCCATTTATAAATTACATTATTTCTCGTGCACATTGCTTTGTTTTAACAAATTTAAGGAAAACAAAATACCAATGAAACTTTAATACTTGATTTTATACGAAATAAAATACAATGTAATCTAATATGATTTTTGAAAATATATGATAATAGCTTATTGATAAAAACTATAATCTTATGGTTGTGGCCTGTTATTTATATCTTGAATGAAGAGATATTTTCCGTATCACACTGCATGGAGTGATTCCTGATGAAGGTAAATCCAGAAAAACGCTTCGGCCGCAGGAAATTATTAAACGTGTTTCAATTTTTGTTATTGTGTTGCAATACGTATTTCTTACCCATTGCATTGCTGTTGAGTAGGAATATTCCGAATGCTTTGCCATCAGATTCTACGCCAAGCATAAAGGGATGAGAACCATACAAGTTTCTGTCTGGCTGAAAGTTTTGTAAATATGAAATAAACATGGCATGTAATTCATCATATTATTCTTTACTAGTGTAAAACTATAAAAATAAGGAGATGTGGTATGATTGCCAATGAGAAAACTATCCACCAAAGCTCAAATGAAGTCGATGTAAGCAATTATAGGCAACCGTACGGCCTTAAACAATGAAAAAAAACCATATCGTATGGTCGGCTATAAAAGTCCCCAACATGAAAAATATAAAACAATTCATTTGAGAAAACTAACAGCCTGATTTATAAAAAAAAACAATTTACAAAAAAAAATATGACATACACGAACAAACGACAACCACTGAACTACAGGTTCCCGACTTGGGACAGGCACATAAAGAATGTGGCGGGGTTAATGTTTGTGAGCGCTCAACCCTCCCCTAACCTGGGACAGTGGTGTAGCAGTACAACATAGTTTTTAAAACTTTGATTCAGTGTATAATTTTCGTTGAACGCAAATAGTTCGGCTGTTGAAAAAAGGATTCCACAATTTATTTGTGTGTGTGTGTTTATATGTAGATGCATGGGCGTGCAAAATATTGAATTAACACTACACTAGCGGATTGAGTTATTGTGGTATCAAATAAATACGACACCACACTCTAAACTGAAACAATATTATGATCTTTTTATAGGTATTACATCTGGAGGTTGATCACGTGACCAAAATGTGATTTTTGGCCCTTCTTCCGGTTTCAGTTTCAAAGTACCAATACGTTCTCCTAGTCCATACAAGTTACTGGTTGGTACCGCTACTGTTATTTCAATGTATTGGTCTGTGTATGTCATTGGTGCTACTGTACTGTCAAAACTGAAATGACAAAATTTGTAGGTACAAATGTATATTTGATTTTCTTGTTGAGTAATATTATCGGTAAATGGCAAATGCTGTAATTTGGAAATACAACGTTGTATTGAAAACATGGATTTTGGATGTACTCCTAAGAGATACATTTAATAAATTAATAAGGAGTTTCTAAATTTTAAAGAAGTATCGAAGACAGCACATTTGCAAAATTTGTAGTACCCAAAAGGGAACTATGCCTAGGAAAATAAAAAAATTGTATTTTAATTTGAGTACAATGGTTCTTAATTATTTCTACAATAATTTTAAACAGTTTTAATCATATATATAAAGTTCGTAATTATATCTTGTTTTAATACCACACTATTAACGATGTTTTTTTTCTTACACTACAGAAGATGATGACTTTCTTAAAACTTTCACACCAAAATATGGACTCCCGTCTATTGTGTAGTTGTATAAAGTAGTGGATGCTTTCGCGAACACTTTTGGTGTATCTATTGGTACTTCGTATCGTTGGGAAGCTGGATCATAAATCTATAGAAGGAAAACATATAGAATGAATGAATACAGTACACAAGAATAAATCAAAAACATTAGTAGTGAGTTGAGTATTGTATTCTCATTCATTTTTAAAATCGAATATCCAAAGTTTTATGCTTATGCATTTTGTTATGTTTATGATATGTTACAAATTTAAACGGGACATTAGCTACGAGATATAAAAAAATTGAATATGATTTTGTTTTGTTCAATCATTAATGAAAGTCAAATAGTAAAATAACAATTCGCTTCTAGCAGTCAGTTTAGATCAATTTTGTCAAAATAAGCTAAGAAAAATCGCTGATAAATTATACACTTGCAAGTGAATAATTCGACCTCATCGAATCCGTATTCATGTGACCTTCAATTTAACACCTTAGCTGGAGATGTGTTACGCATGTATCCAGTTATGAAAGGGAAAGAACGTCAACATTGAAAGTGAAACAAAGATGAACCATTTGGTTGACTGATTCGATCCACAACAAATCATTATTATACAGGTAAAAACGATGATAAACATACTTTTTAGCCTACAATATGAAATCAAACAGACCTAGAAAAATCCAATTGCACGTGGACGCTATCGATTAATATTTATATTTATGTATATATCGAGTTTTATGGCCGTCGGAAGTATTTGGAGGCTATCTCGATGGTTAATTAGATGACGTCTAGACAAAAATACATACGAAATGTTGATACATATTATCGAGTTCATGCATTGTTAATTGTTTATTTTAGACTTTTTGTAATTTTGATATACGTTATTAATCAAATATGAGAATTTGAGACAAATCGGTGAACATGCATTTGACAGCCCCTTCAAAGGTTTTTAGAAATAACAAATATGTAAATTGTATATATTTGGTAAATTCAAATAAAAAATGACAAAAAATATCTACTGACACAGTCAGTAATAGATTTGATTTGTTAAATTTGACCATAAGGACGCTTTATAATGGTAAGGGCATGCATGATGTCCCAAATCTTTGCTCCGATTGGACGCAACTACGAATCTAAACAACAACCAACAAAAAAGATATATGCTAAAATAAAGAAAAATCATTACGGACATAAAATCAAACTAAAAAATGAAATTATCTAGATATATAAAATAAATTCAGGTAAAAAAGGTGTCATTATCACCACTGTCAAAATGTTTAGATTGTGTAGGCCTAGCCTTTAATTCATGAGCAGGCAAATATCACTGACAGGTTCATTAAGTCTACATTTGAAGCTAATGCTGGTCAATTAGGCTATAAATAGTTCAAGTTATAACTGACATTTCGTCATGGCTCTAAACTGTTTCGGGTTTGTTATGCATTACAGATTGTAACCTAATGATATCTTATGTTTATGTCTACTTCACAGCTAGGTACTTCTTTATCCCTGAAAATACCTATATATACCTTTTATTAAATACCAGTATATATTCTAATTCTTGAAAGAAAAGCGCTAATACTCAACTTTCAGAATCGTCAGGCTTTAGCTGCCGTCAAATTGTGAGCAATTTTTTAACTATGATAAATGTAAAAAAAAAACTGATAAAGATTCATGGCTTGTTTTATGCTCACACCTGAATGCGTCAGATATCTTTTTTTAAGAAAGTACTTGTGAAATTCTATCTTTCCTCAAACATTAAATACTTTAATACTGTATTATTACTTACAATGATAGGATTACTTGCCTTCACACGAATCCTTGTTTCAGTTTCTTCTTGTACATCTATCTTCAGTTCTGATAAAGGTTTAGGGAATGGTAGTGATGCTGATGAAAGTGCTCTTGATAAGCGGACTGATTTTCCAATGCTAGAGCCTGTGATATTACCTATAGTGTATCCCTTATAGTCAGCAGGATAAAAACACCAGGAAGCTCCAGCAGCTTTTGAGCTCATCCAGCAGCACCCCCTAGTGGCACAAGTTGTTGGAGAAGCACCTGGTTCCGGGTGACAATCTCCGCGTGCTATGTCTGGTACACCACATGATGCAGATCTAGACTTTGGACGAAAGCACCATGGTATACTAAGCTGGTCAACTTTATTCCAGCAACATCCTCTAGCCCGACATGTTGTCTCAGCAGCATCTAAACAAACAAATAATACACTTCTACTAACACGATAATATATTTATAAAACCTACTAACAATTTATAGAATTGAAACAACTACAAGCAAGTCACTGTTAACGCAAAAACAAACCACCTTTTTTCCGTTAGGATACATAAAACCCTTGACAAACCTGGGGCCGTATTGCACGTCCAAATACCACGGAGTCTACATTATACATTGAAACACTAATCACCTTAGATCATCACCGATTGTTGGTGTCAGTTATGTTCTAATCTGAATTGTCTGTATAATTTGTTTTTGTCTTTTGGTTGTTTTTATTTTTGGTAAAGTTATTGTGCTTTCTTTATTGTGCTTTTCCCTCTTGGTGTCTTCGTTATCTTTTTATTAGTTATCTACTAAAATCTCAGTGTTTATCAGCGCTACATGGTGCTGTTGTAGAAATTTTGATACAAAATTGTATCACGTTCATGTTTTTTTTAAATTTTGAATCGAAGGACTGATCAAATAAAAATGAAAAAAAACCTTGTATACTAAACACAAAAACGCAGCTTAACATATCATGATTATGAATGACCTTACAATATATGTATTGTATGAATACTCAAAAATCGCCAAAATCTGTCAAATGTGTGGTATTTGAAATATAGGTAAATTTGAGCTTTTATAGCATAGTAAAATGTTAGAAATTAGGTATAATATTGTTCAAAGTACCAGTGAAACTATGAATTTAAGTAAGAATTAAAAGACCTTTTGAAAATGGACCTTGTGCGAAATTTATTCAGGGGGGATCGACACAATTTCCTTGTCTGTTTTCGTTCTAGAAAAGGACACTTGCTGAAAGCAAAAATATGAAAACGTATGCATCCGCAGATCTAGTTGTATCTTGAATAGAACTCTGAATGAAACGGAAAAACGTCAAACAAAAGAGTGACGAAAAGACCTCGAGTGTTGGTAAAAGGCGTAATCTTAGAAGAACCTATGCTTATATACCTATATGGAGTTATTTTCTTTCAGAACGATAGGTCATTCTTTCGAAGAATCAACCCGGACGATACCATGTTTCAATGAAATATGCTTCAAGGCATAAAATAATGACCTGTGTAAGGTCATTATTTTCCTTGATAAAAAAGCAAACTATAATTTACTTCAACATTTAATTAGTTTGATAGTTTGTTGTTGCCAATTGGAGAATTTATTTTTTAAAGTTCCATCTTTGATAGGTTTAACAAAAATCGCCATTGACGCGCATTTTAACTTTAGAAACAAAATAATGATGTATTGTTTTGTCAATTTATCGCTACAATAAAGGGACACTATCATATATGTGAGATGAATCTTAATGTAAAACTGTTCATAACACTTTTAAAACAAGCCAGATTTTCCTATCATGATTTCCTTGATAGAGGATTGCTGCTCACAAGGAAGCTATTAAACCAAGAGTTCCAAATGGTGAAGTTGAAATCATCCCTTCGTAAATTTTACGGACGCCATCACGAGTTGGTGGACCGTTATGGAATAACCGTTTCACAGATGATATCGGATATGTTCCCTATGTCGTAACTACAATACCCTTCCCTTTTCACGAATGTGACCTACCGAATTAGACTATTTACCGGATTTGTAATAACATAAGCAACACGACGGGTGCCACATGTGGAGCAGGATCTGCTTACCCTTCCGGAGCACCTGAGATCACCCCCAGTTTTTGGTGGGGTTCGTGTTGCTTAGTCTTTAGTTTTCTATGTTGTGTCATCTGCACTATTATTTGTCTGTTTGTCTTTTTATTTTTGGCCATGGCGTTGTCATTTTGTTTTCTATCTATGCGTTTGACTGTCCCTCTGGTATCTTTCGTCCCTCTTTTTTAACACATTCGTGTGTAGGATTTTGAAAATCTTATTGATTCACACTGAAAGGAAACCTACATGTATTTATATTCGTTTTCATGTTACATGTACATGTATCACGATTTCGTGCTCTCTTCGTGTCAGTTCTTAACTTTTTACATCTATATATATCTTTTACTCTATCAAATGATCAACAGTATTTACTGCTAAACTATTCTTATATTTTATTGAATAACAGCCACGTACCTCACAATGGGGTCGGGGAGTATAGAATTAAATCCTGATTCTCTGATAAAAAAAATGTATTGCCATTCAAAAGAAAATTATTCTGAATTGATCATTCGTAAAAAAATGTTGAAAAAAAGTGATAAAAATGTCATTACAAATAGAAGAAAAAAAAAAACAACATAGCACCCCCCTTCCATAAACTAAGTTGGTACAATAAATTACTGACAAAGTGACTTGTATTTTTCATACACCGTTATCGGGTGGTAACAATTCATTTGTGTCTTGCTTCATGCAGTTACAGTAATATTTTTATTGTATCTGGATAATGATTTCTAACGTTTATATCTAGATTAACTAGTGAGTTTTATTTCACATTATAAATGAGCCGTAAGGCGTTTTAAACCTGAACGCACCAGTAAGGAATATCCCACTTAAGTGTGGTCGGTAAAATAGGATGCTAAATCTGCAAATCTTTTTAGAAAATAATATTTTTTCACGGTATATAAGTCAGATATCTATAACAGATGCAGGTTCAAAGACCAATAGGTACACGATGACTTTTGTTTTACAGCAATCCACCAAAAATTATTCGATAGAAGAGGGTCTGGATGTGTAGTCTTTCATTTCCTTATTCCTTAATTCTTTATAACAGTTTTCTCTATTCGTTAGAAATTTTCCCTTTATTCTCTATTCTTATATTTTAACACCCCATTATTCTCTATTCTTAAATTTCTTCGATTATGTTTCTCTACTAGATATGTTTATGTACGCTTGATCCATTATTCTCTACCTGTAAACCCCATCCAGACCATCATACAGTCATACACAGGCATTCTTGAGCAAATGAAAGTTGTTGAGTATTAGTTGAATATAGCAAGTATTTGCTTAGTAGTTCGTATTTTGATCTTCTTCTTTGAAAATTTCATTCGGATTCTACACATAAAATTAGAGTGATACATTAAAAAAAACAAGTAATGTACTTGGTTCGGGGTGGCAATCTACACGTGAGGCCAGATCTGTGGTGTCGCAGACATCTTGTGATGCAGCTCTAAGAATAAAAATGATGCATAGGAGGGAAGCTATTGAATACATCTTGAAACTCAAACCATGCGTTTCATTCCTAATTTTAATTCCAAACAATGATTAAATTCTTTTATCTTTGCACCAAATGACCAGTCGCCTTGAAGATTTCCACGTATCAATATGTCATTGACTGATAATGACAATTTAGAATTGACTGTGGTGCATAAATTTATAATTTTTGGGGCTGTCTTTGGAATCCCTTTCATTAATGTTTTTCTCTGTAAGCTCCATATCGAAATTTTTAAGTATTAAATGATTGAAAATATCATACTGGAATGTTTACGTCAACGCAAATGAGTTACACATATAAAAAAACAGAATGTGCGTTGACTTTCGTCTTGGATCTAAACAATTCATGCAGATGTAGATTGCAGCATTGATTTGTGATATATAGACCTCTTTACATGAGGGTCTGGACAGATGGTCTTCATTTCTGTAATAACCTTAATATTTTGAACCATTTTTCTCTATTATTTATTCATTATTCCAATTATTCTCCCTTTTTTTATTTTTTCACTTCATTTTTCTTCATTCTTTTTGTTGGCTTATTTTTCTCTATTCTTAATTTTTTCTCCATTTCTGGTCCATTATTCTCTATTCTGAAAACCCAATTCAGACCCTTATACATTATAATCACTACACAGACCGTCCAAGAAAGACAGACAACATAATGACTTAAAGATACAAGAGGAAAAGTCCATAATAGACTACATAGACATCAAAAGACAGAGAAGTAGCCCTTCCACCCCCAAAAAGAAACCCGTTCCTTTAATTATTTGTATTAACGAATGTTTGCTCAAAAGAGAATCATACCAACCCCAACCCCTTTAACGTAGGAGACTGTAAAGATGTGCAACTTACGGGAAAGACTGATGACCCTTCATCCTAAAAAGTATCCGTGGTATACACTAAATTTTACGGTAATATTGTACTAAAAGCGCGGAAATCACTATGTGATCCGTGTAAACTCATCGAACCTTTAAACAAACTTATTAGTAAAGGTTATATTACCAATGTCGTAATTAGATCCTTGAATATAGTTTACATTGGCACTAATATCGATTTTGTCATCAACAACTAAATTTGTATTCTTTTCAAACGGGATGTATAAAGACACACCCACGTTAATTTTGATCTATAAAGAGCTTAACTCCTAACTATCCTACTGCCTGTAGATACATTTATTTTTGGCATTGCACGAGTCATGCTTCTTTGACTGTCCATGACGTTAAAATACTAAATCCTTGGGATGTGTTTTAGTTGATTTTAGTCTATGATGAATGATTTTTTTTTATTATTAATTGTTTTTGGCTTTTAACAAGCTGTCAGTAACTGCGCGTACTCTCAAATCGTACTTTCTTGTTAATTTGACCAGTTGATACTGTTTGTAATGCTTTTTTGTTATTTAATGTGTACTTATTCAGGATTATATCTGGTCTATATAACACTAGCTTTGATAAGTGTTTGGTACTACTATATATAAATGTTTACTTATTCGAACTGTGAACATCAAAATTATTTATTTTGTAAAAATATTTCTTTTCTCCTTTTAAACTGTATACCTAACAACAAAATTATTTTCATTTACCTGTGTACCTTGTAAATGGCGGATTTTTGTTTAAGGTTATTGTTGTTTTTCTGAAATTAAAAGTTGTGCACCTCATTTTTATGT